CGGCACTTTCAAGAGCAAGAGCAAATTCCTTGCCCCGATAACGTGGCTTGCCGTGGAATTGTTTTGGAAGGAAAATCGCATTTCAAGAACCATGCAGCTACGGTACACCTTTTCGTCTTATGAGCTATTACAACCAATAACTGGGCATATTGTTACATGCTGACCGATGGTATGGTTATTCACATCGGCACGGACTCAGAGAGAAGTCGTTGGTCATCGATGGCATATTGAGACTAAACCCGGCAATCAATGGCTAGGCTTGCTTTGGAAGTTGCCTCTCCTCGGTTGACTGAATTGCTCGCCGCGGAATTATGCTCTGCCAATGCGTTTGGATCTTAACGTTGAAAACTCTCACAGCACCTCAATGCCACCAACCACGCCCTCGACTGGTAAGGCCCTAGTCAGGCTCTGGTGTTTCACAATCCGCGGCTTGGGGAAACTAGTATCCAGACTCGGTGTCAACCCTGGAACAACATCATGAGACAAGATCGACAGTACATACAAATACCTTAAAATGATCTGCAAGTTCATTCCTGAGAAAGGACGTACAATTGGCATAATTCAACTTGGCATCTCATGTCTCCGAAAGCCACTTCCCAAAACAGGAGAACAACCTTCCAAAAGAAGAACAACGGGTCAGGCGATCGGGATCTCCAGGACAGGACCAATATCTTCTGTTCAACTGCCCTATCGACCCGGCGCAGAGCTGAGGGATTTAATGCTTGAGGCCATTATTCCTTGCTACTGCGATGCTCTAGTTCGCCATCAACCGATGCTCCTCCACCCCTGGTTCGTTTGGCGTTTCTTTGAATGACGTGAAGGTGAGGGCCAAAGCAAGATGACTGAGTTACTGAATGAAAGGAGGTCGATAATGAGCTTGGGATGAGGTGGGTGGAGCCTTGACATAGACCAAAGCCCACTACTTTCCTGGAAGAGGAAGTCACGAGTTCGTGCTTGACACCGTGTTCAGATGAGTCTACAATGGGAGGTACTATTCCATTCCCAGAGCCCTTGGACTCCTGTGGTCGAAGATTGTTTTGCGGTAATATCGAAGTGCCGAAGTTGCCCCTTCACAATGCTCTAGGAATCGAGACTCGCGGATGTCAAATCTGGGTCACATCTGAGACCAGGACTCTTGGCCTCCTAGCAAGGTTGACGACCAATGAATGGCCTGACTGTCTCATGAATACTTACGAGCCGGAAACGTATTGCGACACCCAAATGGGAGGCGTGGTGGGAAATTTAACACCAACTGATGACTTGAGGTCACTATCCCAACGGATTCCTTCTCGAGACATACTCGACTTGCACATGCTCCCGAGAGTACCTAAGCGAATACAACTCTCCAATCGGAGTTTTTGGTAGGCCACCCCTTCACCTGAAGCACAGTCCACAAAGCAGACAGACAAGCAATAGCTCCAGACTTAGTCCTCAGGAAGTCAAACCCGCACAGTGTCGACAATGATAAGGCTAAAGCAATTGCTTGTATCTATGCTGGCGGAAAACAATCACCCCGGTCTGCACCATATGAAGCTAAAGCTCAGACAACTTTGAAGATAACGATGACAATGAAAGTCTGTCGTTCAGTACAAATTCACATGCCAAATACGCTTTGCGAGACCACATAAGTTACCGACAGTCGACAGACAAAGCTCTCACACAACTTCTCGCACAACTTCTAGTAACATTTCTCTACTGATATCTTTAACAAGCTCATCGTTGCAAGTTTCCGCTCAAAACAAACAAACCCCAAAATCCCAAAAAAATTGATGAATTCACAATCAAAAAGAACCCAAATTATATAAAAGCTCCCCAGAAAATAAAATCTCTCAAATCTTTACGCTGCGAACTCGAATTCTAGAACGGAAACTACAAGACTTCGATCCTTTCAAAATGCCTGTCTTATCTCATTTAGAGTATATCTATCATCATTTGTTCTTCCCACCGAAGCTCCCCCAGGCGGATGACGCCAATCCAGAAGCATTCCACGCTCTTCACGGAATGCTGCAAGATGCATTGATCAAGTATGCAGAAGCGGTCGGCAGTGGTGATTTGAAACTGGGGAATTGTTCTGCAATGTTGGAAAGTTTTCGCCAGGGCCGACAGCCTGATGGAAGTCTAATTGCAGAGCATTTGGACAACGTGCTCCAGGGCGCCCTTAGTGACAGAGAAGCTTCTCTTGAGACACTTGACGTTGTCGATTTTGACGCGCTTCGACCCCTCCTAGCATTCGAGATCAGGGCGCAAAATGCAGGAGTTATAGTATCGTCCAGAGCTGGACGGTCATGTGTCTTTGAGCTGTTCGAGCTATCGCCAGACTCCGCCTCGATTATGGCAGCTGAAGGAAGACTTCGTCGCCCTTTCCCCGGCTCGTTCATTGAAGTTTCAAAGGAACGCCTGAATGATCCGGCATTTCGGGCCGCCTTGGTCGATACATTTTACAAAATGGATTCAGAGTCTGTCAATGACACTATCCCTCACATCAGCAAAGCCTCGACAAGCATTCCAGAGATACGTGATACGGCTCATCCTCGGTTGGTTACTGAGCTCGTCAGAGAAATTTTACGTGCTGTCGGCCAGGATGTGCAGCTACCTCTTATTCAGAAGAATACAAGGGACGATGTGTTGTGGCACAATGCTCTTACGCCCTGGCGACGGTCACCGACTTGGCTACTGTTGCGGGTTTCGATCCAACGGTGCCTCCTCGAGCAAACGCATGGAAGCGAAGACTCGGGGCACTACAAGCCGTTCATGATTTATTTCTTCGCACAAGTCCTGAAGTTATCTGCTCAACCCGATATTCCACCTGACAGGCGTCAGGTCATGAGAATGAAGATTAACCGCCGCTTGTTAAAGCTAAATCCGGAGGGGAACGAGCCATGGTTGTCGGAAGTGGAACGCATATTGAGATCGAGCTACATGGAGGACCTCCGACGTTGGCGTCAGCTGGAAATGTTGGACGACCCGGACGGTGCCTTCGAGAGATTCGCTACTACCGGAGAGTTCTCTGTTGATGACACAGTACTGTCGCTCGTTTCTTTGCATCCGTATCTGGATATTGTCATGCATCGACCACCCAACCCCGCCGGTTATGGTATCCCACCGGTCAAATTCCTCGAACGCACCTCTGTCGGGCCTCGATCGCTCCCTGTGAGACCGCCAGGAGAGCAACAAGCTATGCTGGCTCTGTGGCTTCGAGACGTGGAACACTGGGTGGAGATTCATCTTGACGAGTGGTCGGGTTGCAGCGTCTCGGATGGAAAGGCTGTCGTGGGGCTAGCAGACATCATGCGTGAATATCGAAGTACAGCTTTAGAGGTATACGAGGGTGATCCAGTCAACTACTCGCTCATGTGCCTGACATTGATGGAGCTGTGGGCGGAAATGGACCGTCGGACTTTACGGGCGGTACCCTTGATGCGTGATTTCTCTTCCGAATGGACACACGAAATGCTCCAACCTTTGCTTCTTCCAAAGTATTCTCAGATGGAAAGATTGCGAAAGATCGAACAATATTTGACTGAAAGAGGTTGTCGGCTTACTCCAAGTCCAAAATCAATGTTTTGCAGCGTCATGAACAGCAGCGCATTTGCAGTGCGCTACTACAATACGTCTGCTGCTCATCAAGACCTTCGCCGACAAATCGAAAATTCTGCTCAGCGTGAGAGGGACCAGAAAATGTCAGAATTGGCTCAAAAGAAATCCCGACGTGACACCCTTCTTCGAGAATCGAATCAACTTCAGTGCTCCTACATCGAGGTACATCGACAGTATGGTGACACGGAAGTGCATAGTCCGCATTGCCGAAAATGCAGACTCAAGAGTGAAGCCGCAAGCCTCGAGATCTACGTTCACGAATGGCCACTTCCAGCAAAGGAAGATGAACTCAAGGCAGCTATTTTTGAACTTGACGTTCCTCCCATCGTCCAAGCTTGGCGATGTGCCTCCTACTCTTTGAAGATGGATGTCTTCGCTCGGAACAGCCTCCAAGAGCGTGGCGCAGATCGCATGCACCAATTGCTCACCTACGAAGGCCTCAGGTGTTGGGTTCGAACGCCACACGCTCGTTTTGGACTAGCGTCATCGGCAAAACCTTTCGTGTTGTCGCACTATAACAAGAGAAAGATATCAATCGCGACAGTGGAAAGTGTGTGTGTGGCTCAAGGAATGCAGTTGGCTCTCTACGACCTTTCCCAACGCCAGCTGACTTCCAATTCTGGCAATGATTTCGACATCCGACCCCAGTGCACGTTCGAAGTGTCATCTGGACCCTACCGAAATCTCCAAGACACGTTGACCGGAACTACTCACACGTCCAACGAGATTATTGCTCGTCAAGCGTCGTGTGATCAAAGACTCACAGCACATGAATATTGTGCCTTCGGTGATCTACGAGCTGGCGAGCGGCTCCAGCTGTATAACGTCGCCAGAGAACTGGCTTCTGCTGTGCTCAACTTTACGCACGAGGATGTTTCATTGCTGTTTCAACAAGCCGTATGGCAAGTGGGCTCCAGTTTGCCGGAGACCGCATGGCGCCAAGCCCATACTCCTCTTGCGGAGAGAAACTTTACGAAAGACCTCTTGGCCGTCGTGAAAGAGACCTTCAATAAGCACGAGACCAACTGGCAAGGGACGAATGCCATCCGACTGATGGGTGTTCTTGCCCAGCGCCTGCTGTCTCTCTCTCCGCATGAGGACATTCGCATAGAATGCTTAGCTTTTCTGAAACAAATCCGTCACACGACATTGACATGGGCCCGGGAGCTTGATGGGTTATTTGCGAGAACGAATGACCACGCAGAACGTAGCAATATTAGTCGGCGCCTTGTGGCAGCTGCAAACGTGACACTGATCACCTTTGATGCCGAAGCGTCGCATTACAGCAGTGTATTGGAAAGCAGTAGTGACGTTGCTGAATATTGCGAGTGTCTGATCCTGTTGAACAATCATGCGCCGTTGCAACAAGTACGAGCCTTTGACACGACGCGGTCTGAACGACTGAAAGTTGCCCGAGCACACGAGTTACTTCTTCACGAACTTATTGCCACCGATGCAGAGGGCCTTAATGCAGCAGTCAGGAAGGTTTGGTCTGGGTTTCATCCCCATGGATCGTGGCTGCCTCTTCAATCGGAATTGCGCCAGTGGCTAGAGATGTGCATTTCGGCAGATGGAGAACGAGTTGCACGCACCATTCACTTCAATACACTTTCCGGCGAATTGCTAATTGATGGCATTCCACTTTCAAGACTTCCTAGTACTGTCAGCGAGCACAAGACGTTTGAACGGTTGTTTGGCAAGGTAATTTTTGTCCTCAAGAGCACTTCTATCGGGTCTGATATTTGACAGCAAATTCTTGATGTCGCTCCGTCGTCAATGCTGGGCATGCAATTCATGTCCAAACGAGACATATGCGGACACAAGGTAATTGAAGGCTCTTTGCAGCATGTAATTACAGCCTGCCCGTAGTTGGCCAGGGTCTCTCACTTCCATCCAACACACTTTTCAGATGTTCTGGGCCTTTGTTTAGACACTAAGTGTGGATAGGTACACTTTAGACTGGATGGTGCCGACCTCTTCATTCGATCCGAGAAATCTGGCGTCGTCCAAGAGCTGATCCCGACGTCTCGCCTTGAAGGCGACTTTCCGCATTTCATGATCCATGAATATTTCTATTGGTTCGACCTGGGGTCACAACATGTGGAATGGAGACCCCGTACACAGCCATGGTCTTCCTCCTCTAATCGGTGGTGGCTTGTGCGCAAAGAGCAGGGGTATGTGCTGAGGAAAGGGAGCCTCTCTCTCATCGATATTCGAAGTGAGAGGGCGGAAACATTATCTAGGGTGCTGGCAAGCCTCGAGGTCCGAGAACACATCGTCATGACCTACGATGAGCATTCCCAAACCACCCACGTGCGACTGCCACGAATGCAACTAGACTTCACTATAGGCCAAGGATCACCTCTTCTCGCTAGCAAACAATTTCCCGGAACGGTCGTCGATGAAACACAGACATTTGGCACATTTACAGGGTTGCGGTCCAAATTGGTTTTGAGGTCCAACGACCGGGTGAGTCGCAAAGTTATTATCCCCTTCGGTCGACCTCACTCCATCCCACTTGACGATCATGTCGAGACGACGGTCTCACCAGGTTCCTCGGAAAAGATCAAATATATGGTTTATGACGTTGATATGCACCTTGGGCGAATGATCGGAGACCAGTCGACCTTGAAGAGCCTCTACAAAAGCTACCTGCACGCAGTGACTTCATCATGCTTCCCTGATATGCTGACCGGGAGGACTGGTACAGAGGAAGCGCTCACCGTCCTTGGTCAGGGATCGATGTACTCATTTACTAGCCTTGGACAGACAGAAAAATGGCTTTTAAGCTTACTAGCTACCCTAACGCCCAAGAGGGAGTATTACCCCAAGCACCTCAAAGTAATGCAAGAGGTCAAGTGGAATAACTCTCTGTCTCTATTTTCACAGCACCCACGCTTCAGGTCCGCTGTGGAAAGAATATTGGCTCATGAGCATATTCTCAATATGTTCCACGACGGCTGCGAGCGAAACACGCCATTACCTGCCAGCGACGCTCATCTGTTGATCCGCGGTGCACAGCACGATGCGCAGATCCGTGTCTGCGACTTCGGGGCCGAATTACCGTGCTCAGTCGCGGATCATCGATCTCGAGACACAAAGGAGCATTCAAGAGAGATAGAAGCGGTATCCACAGTCTCCAGGTTAGTGGATGAATGGTCTACGAACCTACGTGTCAGTAGAGACCTCTTCGGCCTACTCAAAGCTCAAAAGAGGGCTATCCTAGGTTACTCGCCCTCACTGATCCTTGGTTACGATCCATTATGGCTGGAACCTCCTGAAACCACCATTCCAGAATACTGGTGCTCTCTTCAAACCGTGATGTCGGCAAGCAATCAAGAAGAGCATAGATACCCGATAATGTTCCTGCTCGCGACTATGGCGTATACTCCAAAATCCGATCCTGTGTTGTTGGAGACGTTGCTTGCGTTCTCTACCGTTGCTGACCTCGCCGGGACGGAACCACCGCCGTTTCCAGTGTTCGACCTCAAGTATGGTTGTGAACCACAGAGGCAGCGGCTAGGCGAGATTATCAAATCAAACGCCTTTGGCTTTCACGCATCGCCGCAGCTTGCTCTGCCGAAGGTTGTCTATGAGAACAAGAAGCAATACACTGCACGACTGCAAAAGCTCTATGATCAATCTTTGAACCGAGTTGCTAATAGCATCATCGACCACTTTCTCCAGCAATGGCCTCGCGTTCAGCTCATTAGACCCGACTTCGATGAGGAACGAGATCAGTATTTAGATATGGGAAAGATCATACCTGCTGCAAGACGATTGTTCGCCACTTGGTATCACAATTCTGAATTTCGGAACTACGTGCTTCGAGCACAAACTTCACTCGAGAGGTTGGTGCCAGGTCTGCGTGAATATGTGCGCTACCAAAGTACGGATAGAACGACCAATGAGACGCAAGCAACAACCTATCTGGTTTGGGACCGCTTGTTCCACAGCCGCCCCACTGCCTACGATCCAACCGCCGTGAAATTCAAGTTTCCCGTGGTTCACCGGCGCAGAGTACACAATGATACGGCAGAGATTGACGCTCTCGTACAACGTGCTCTGCCAAGCGGGCGCAACTCATTTGAAGCTCAGTACCTACACGACTTCCAAAAAAGCATCAGCTCCTTAAACGACTTGGAAGACATCGCTCTCACTTTCAAAAATGAAGCACCGCCTACAGCTGGGAAAGACCTCATGTCGGACTGTGCACGACAAGTCCAAAAAAGTCTGCAGCAGATTCGGGATTTGCTCAAATGCCAGTTGAGCAGAGCTGAGTTTGTTGCGACCGAGCTCGATTTGGGTCCACGACTGGGAATCACATCCTTCCTGAGATGGCTCACACAACTTCCACCGACATTGGTTGGGCGACAATGGAGAGCCGTGTTAATGGAAATGGCGATCCGGATTACACAATGGCAGCGAGCTTCCCGCTTGGTTGCGTGCGATCATGATACCCAGGCCGTGATTGATGAGCTCGCCTATGAGCCGCATCGTGACTGGGATCCTTCAGAACGACCAGAATGGATGCTGCTGCAACTGGAAGGAAATTTCCTGATTCGTCCGCAGCAAGTTGACATCGCCCAGCAAATGATATCCCCACCAACTGGACGAAATACGGCCATACAACTCAATATGGGTGAGGGCAAATCATCTGTGATCATACCCATGGTTGCGGCTACAGCAGCCAATACGAACCAACTAGTCCGAGTTATTGTTCTGAAACAATTGGCGAATGCAATGCTAGAAATCCTGCTCAACCGCCTTGGAGGGCTTCTTGGCCGGCGGATCATTTTCCTGCCGTTCTCTCGATCTGTTAATTTGTCCACCAGCCAGCTTGGGGAACTGCGTCAGTTTCTCGACAGATCCATGAAAATCGGCGCTGTCATGCTCGCGCAGCCAGAACACATCTTGTCATTCGAACTTTACGGTCCTGATCGATGTCTTCGCGAAGCCAGCCACGAGGGCTGTGCGGCGATAGATCTGCAGAAATGGCTTGATGACCATGTTCGTGACGTGCTGGATGAAAGTGACGAGCTTCCAATCCAAAATACCAACTAATCTACATAATTGGACTACAAAAAGGCATTGATCTCCAGCCTGATCGCTGGATTTTAAGTACCGAGGTGCTTAACGTCTTGGCGTCAACTTGTGTACAAATGGCCCTAGACTTGACCGAAGGCCTCGTCATCAACAAAACCCATCAGGGACAGTTCCCACATCTGTACATCACAGACAGAGATACGGGGCAGTTGGTTTTGGAGAGCGTGGTTGACAATATATGTTCCAACGGATTGCCGAGTCTCCGCCTGGACCTGGTGACGGAGGGAAAGCGGCAAAAGATTCGACGTTATATCACGGATCTCCGCCCTGGAAGGACAATCGTTGCCGCTGTCAACAGAATTACTGCTCATGATGAGACATTAAAGAAGAAGCTCCTTGTTCTTCGAGGTCTGTTTGCCCATAAAGTTCTCCTCTTCGCTCTCCATCAACACCGATGGCGCGTGACATATGGACTGTCCCTGGACCGAAGCGTGCTGGCTGTCCCGTTCCGAGCGAAAGATCAGCCAACTCCTCGGTCTGAATTCAGTCACCCGGATTTTACAATTATCCCAGTGCTCTTCAGTTTCGAGACGCTAGTCTCGATACGAATCGAGACTCAAGTTTCGAAACTTGAATTTTGGCAGGTCTCGAGACAGTGGGGCTTCCGGATGAGGGCTAGTCTGTGAAGGACGTATATCGTTGCTCAGCAAGTGGCGGTGTAAATCTCTGTTCTCAAAATTCGAAATGGATACTACAATGAGCGATTTCACGGAACCGCAGTTGCCGCTACAACAAACCGTGCAATACCCACAGGAGTATAGACACACAGATGGCATCCTTTATCAAAGATGTGCTCTCGGAGGTAGAAATCGAGCAGGAAGGAGTTCATCGTGGTGGTATCACGGCGCGACGTACGCTAGGCCAAACAAACCGAACGATATCGCTGGATGGATGTGTGGAAGATGTCAACGCTTTATCTTGACAGTTGGGCGTGCTGTCAGTCCTGTGCAAAGACATATGAAGGATGCGCACAGATTGCGCAGTGAAGCGAATTCGCACGAGGGCAGCAGTATCACCAGCACCAGCGAAAGCAGTCAGCAACCGTCAAAGTATAAGGCTTTATACCATACCTATGACGTGAAAGCAGTTCAAGATCAACTCTTAAACTGGTGCATCATCGATCATATCCCATTTACGAAGGTCGACTCCCCTGCCTTCAAAAGGTTGATGAAGGCTATCAGTCCGAGTCTGGCGGCCGTTCCGATGAGCGCGGCGTCGCTTCGCCGGTGGGCTATACAGGCGTTCCAAGAAGAAAAAGATAGAATGAAGGAGGTACTGAAGAAGTCGGCTTCAAAGATACACGTCTCGTTCGATGGTTGGTCCTCGCCCAACGGCTACGCGGTCCTGGCCGTTGTCGCGCATTTCATCATCCTCGGGCCAGATTTAAAGTATCGCAACCAAGCAGTACTTCTTGCATTAAAGAGGATGAAGAATCGCCACACTGCGGTTGAGATCTCGAAGGTCTTAATTGACGTAATAATGGACTATGGCTTTGCCGAAATATTGGGTGTTTTTATGGCCGACAATCCCGATACTAACGACAACGCTATCGCAATGTGCTTAAAGGTTATTGAACCGACCGAAAAGAACCCGGCTTCGCGTCGAGCTCGCTGTATTGATCACGTCCTAAATCTTGCCGCGAAAGACTTTATGTTTGGCGAGGACGTCGAGGCATTCGAATTTGACGTCGCGGGGGAAGAACTCGCCGACCGTTTCGATTCTGTCGCCGCTGTCAAGGCGCAGAGGGCCTGGCGATCGAAAGGAGCAATTGGCAAGCTATACAACATTGTTGCATTCATTAGAGGAAGCCCACAGAGGAGGGAAGCATTTAAAAAGATCCGCGTTGGTGATGAAAGTATCGACAGTAAGTGTATAAGCAGCACTCTGAATCTCTGATTATAATATACTAATTGGCTCGCGAACTTTTCACTACTCAAAGATTTAGTACTGATTCAAGACAACTCAACCCGATGGAACTCGCATTACCTGTCAATTACGCGGGCTATTAAGCTTCGCGTACGCCTCGAGACCTTCTGTTCAACTTACAAAGCCGATACGCGCCTTGATGCCCTCTCCGTAAGGGATTGGGACAACTTGAACGCGATTTCTGTCGCCCTTAAACCATTCGAGAGGGCTACGATATATCTACAGGGTGCAGCGGGCGATGGAAGGCACGGATCAGTCTGGGAATGGCTACCGACCTGCGAGATGCTTCTTAACGAGATCAAGAAGGCGCAGGCCCATTTGATTGAAGAAAAAGGTTTAAGCGATCCCCTGGTTATCGCATACCAAAATTGCTGGCAGAAGCTCGATAAGTGGTGGCGAGCAACTGACGACGCTTATACAATCTACGCAGCTGCGACCCTCCTCTCTCCTCTCGGACGAAAGGCGTACTTTGATAAAAATTGGGATGATGACAGTAAAGAAGAAATGTTGGTAACGGTTCGAGAATACTACAATAAGTACTACAAGCCGATAGCGAGCGCACAAAGCCAGCAACTCGAGAACGACCCTGATCCGATGGCTATCCATCTCGGCCTGGCAATAGTCTACCCAGTAGGCACGGACCAATATCACCATTTCATCAACGATGCGCCTTTTAGTTACAAGACCGATATCCTTAATTGGTGGGCAACTGCTGGCCCTACCGATCTTCGCCAAATGGCTTTCGATTCAATGTCAATACCTGCAATGTCAGCGGAAGTGGAACGTGTCTTTAGTAGTGCGAAGAGACTACTAACGCCAGAGCGCAACTCGATAAACGACGAATCACTGGAAATCTTCGAGGTCTTGCGCAATTGGTGGCTTCACGATATTGTGCTACAACAACCGGACACTGATGGAATTGAGACTGAGAACATTGCTGTACCTGCCTGATCAAGCAAGGCGCCAATGACCCACTGTCTCGATACAAGTCTCGATACCTTCGAGACTTTCGAAGTCTCGAGACTGAAGAGCACTGCGCCAATCTCTCTGCTGCGGTCCAATCAGAAAACTTACCATCCAATCCGAGTTGGGTGGTCTTCCGCAACTGCTGGGCAATACTAAGACCCGAGCCAGGCCTAGACATGTTGAACATGGCTTCGAGGATTGCGCCAAGGCCGACCCTTTATCGTTCTGATTTATTTCGTGCACATCAAAATTTCGCGCGACGTAAGAAGAAGCGACTCGGTGGCAACTTCAGAACCGATGGTACGTCAGAAATCTGGCCCAGTGGCCAATATGCAACGGCCTATGGTGACCTTTGAGATCGCATCGGACAGCGTGGATCAGGTCGGTTGGGTTCCAAGGTCAGGTGCCGATTTCTCGAGATGCTTGGGGCCGAGAGTCAATCGTAGATCGTGGCTGCAGATTAAGATGAGTTCAATCGCCACCTGAGCGGTTGGACTGACGTCTAACAAGATATGGTTTGCTGGCTACCTGGATACAAGGATGGACGTAATGTGTATCTGTACGAATATGTCGTTGCTCTTGTACGAGGGAGTGTCGTGAGGTGGAAAGACGACGAATTAAATGCCAGCAACAAGGCTCACGGCTCGGCTAACAAGCCCTTTGAGGATCTAGACGAGGCTACGCTTTACCTATTCTGGACCAACCCAAGTACTATGGAGATCTCAGATAGCCATTGGGCTATTTCCTTCTCTGCCACATCGGAGGGCGCCGCTTCCTACAAACAGCCAGCAAGAGGACAGACAATGGTGTTGCCTGTGGATTGTCAATGTGCATCATGACACATCGTATACACAACCCTTGCCATGTTATTCCTTGGCCACATCCCGTCGATAAGCCGCATCTGTTACTTGGTATAAGGTATGTTTACGTCCCCGATGCACTGGCAAGCATTCTCGTGCTTCCCTCGCACCGAACTCCCTTTGACCAGAATGGCGCGAGCTTCACTAAACAGGACCAGCAGTGGCTTCAAGGCCCTCGGACAGGCTTCGGAAAGGGGCAAAACCGTGAATGACACTATTCCTGTAATGACTCCTTCGACAAGAACAACCCCTTTCCTCATCTATCTCGTCTACATCGTCACACTCGGTCCTTTGCAGTTCGGTTTCCACTTGGTGAGTCTTTGCTGATCAGTCAAGAGGCTGGGAACAGTGGTTAACAAATTCAGGGAGAACTCAATGCACCCGAGACGGTCATCACTTGCAAGGTGGACAGACTACCCACCTACAGTATCCTTGGACTTCCTCCGATGTATACCGATGAGTCAGGGTGAATGGGGACTCATCCAGTCACTCTTCACCGTCGGTGGTCTTTTCGGAGCCCTGTTCAGTGGCCCTATTGCGACAAAGTCCGGCCGGTTGTTCGCCCTGAAATGGCTCGTCGTCTTCTTGGCCATGGGACCAATAACAGAAGCACTCGCTCACAGAATTTGGATTCTTGCCCTCGGTCGTGCCATTTCTGGTCTGGGAGCCGGTGCTGCCGCCGTTGTCTGTCCAATCTATGTCTCAGAAATTGCACCCCCTGACAAACGAGGACTTTTCGGAGCCTTCACCCAGGTTCAGATCAACTCTGGAATCTTGTTTGCTCAAGTCCTTGGGTACTTCTTGTCAAAGAACACCAAATGGCGCTGGATCCTCGCAACTGCCGGATTCATTGCCGCAGTCACATTCATCGGGTTGATGTTTGCACCCGAAACTCCAAAGTGGCTTGCAGCGAACAATCGACCTCGTATGGCACGCACGACCTTGCAACGTATCAGAGGGAAGAATGTCGAGATTCGAGAGGAGATGGAGCAATGGGAGATCACGGAGGGGGAAGGAGAGGAGCAGAGTCTTCTGAGCGCACTTCAAGATCCTCCGTCCCGAAAGAAGACAAGCAAATCAATCTTTGAAGTCGTCCGACTTGCAGAGTATCGTCGCGCTGTGCTCGCTGTTGTTGGGAACATGATGGCTCAGCAGCTCTGTGGTATCAATGCTGTCGTCATGTACAGCGTGGAAATCCTGGGGCAGGTCATGCCAACTCGAGCCGCATTGATCACGGTCATTGTATCTGCAATCAATGTCCTCGTCGGCTTACTGTCCTCACCATTGCCGGACAAAATCGGTCGCAAAGCCTGTCTCCTCTTATCCATCTCAGGCATGGGATCTGCCTCGGTCATGCTCGCCATCGGTCTCGAGAAAGATTTGCGTTATCTGACCATTGCCGGAATTGGGATCTTTGTGTGCAGCTTTGGTGTTGGCCTGGGTCCTGTGCCATTCCTCCTGCCTAGTGAGCTTGTTGGCCCTGAGGCTGTCGGAGCAGTCTCTAGCTGGGCACTTACTGGCAGCTGGCTGTCCACTTTCTTCGTTGCGCAATTATTTCCCATGTTGAACGCAGCGCTCCCCCACGGTCACGTCTGGTGGGTGTTTGTGGCCACAGCAGGCGTCTTTGGCTTGTTCGTGGCGATTTTCGTTCCGGGGAGCAAAGGAAAGGCCAACCCAGATGAAGTCTGGGGCAGGTCATCTTCGTGATCCACAGAGCGTCAGGTTAGACTCGGTGTTTGGATTGAATGATGGACCGCATGCTGATGAGATGATGAGATGATCGACATTCGCAAAGTACCAGGCAGGTCACAGAATACAGATTATAGAAGGAGTTTCAGGTTGACAAATTGGCAAAGGTCGAGGGCGGAAAAAGGCAGACATGGGGTTTCGGTAGTCATACCGTATTCTTAGCATATTCTTCCGAGTGAGGCGGATCATGGGCGTCGAAGGGTTTGGGATTATCATGATATGGATTCCGGTTGACTCTCTTTACATTCTGCACCGTCCAATACTTGTGCCTGGAGTGACTTTATTATCCCTTCACACCGATTTGCCCTTAAACCTCGGCCAGTGTCGGTCATAGACAGTCGGACTCGTTCACTTCCTAGGGGCCATGCGTGATGTAAAATCTATCCCCATCGAGATTCGATTCTGGTGCGAATTTAGACCTAAGAAGCATTGTGTCTTACGATTCGAAAACCATGTCATGGTGCTCTTGTGCGTCTTCGAAATGCCTGCCATCGGGCCGGGTCCATCGTTCGATCGAACACTGACGAACGCGACGTACGCCGAATCACCGATGTCCTTTTGGGCGTCGTGGCAGTATCGCAGGACCGTCCTCCGCTTTGTCTAGAGAGTGTATCGGAACCCGGGCAGACCGGCGATGACCTCCTTACCCTCCTCGGCCAATCTGTTGTGCCGACGAAAGTAGAGGACAATGGAGACCGTGGTCAGGACGATGACTCCGTTACAACTAGAAGATCATGGGGAGGGGTTGGTCAGCATGAGTGGGCTTCTTCAAAGACACGAAAGGAAAAAGAAGGTCTCCCGGGGATCCCAGAGAACGAGGGCTGTTGGGGAGGAGCGAGATTCTTTTTGTTTCTTTCAGAAAAAACTTACGTCAGAGCGGTGTAGATGCCGGGGTGGTAGGTGGGAAAATCCTGGGAGCGGAAGGTCAAGGCGCCGATGATGCCTCCGACGGCGCCCATGCCGGTCAGGGTGGCGCTGCAAAAGGTGCGGGTCCAGTGGCCGCGGATGTTGTTGGCCTGCCACGACAGCACGCAGGGGATGGTGGCGTTGCAGCCGGCGGTGACGAGGAAGACGGCGAAGAGCTGCACGCCGGCGACATCGGTCCAGGCCAGCAAACACAGGCCGGTGACGGACTCGAGCACGTTGACGAGGATGACGGGGCTCCGGAGGCGGTACCGGTCGCTCAGCCAGGCCTGGCCGTACATCTGCACGGCGGCGAAGATGTACGGCGGCGTGGTGAGGATCTGCGACACGCCGGCGCTGAAGCCGATCCGCGAGTTCAGGATCATGGGAAGGAAGTAGGCCACGGCGTAAGCCGGCGCGGTCGAGCATCTGTGAGGCCAAAAGGCTCGATGTCAGTTTCGCTCGTCCTATTTTTCTTTTGCCTTTTTTCCGCCGGCCCTTATACACGGACGACAAAAATAACGACAATCACGACGATGGAAAAACACAAACTAGAAACTTCCGGTACGCATGGAAACACTCACGTGTAAAGTAACCCGTACCCCCAAATGCGCCAGTCCAGCGCAGGGCGGAGGAACTTTCGCAGGTTGAACTTTTGGTCGCTTTCCGTGTCTTGACGGTCCTTGTCGATGAGACGGATCATGTGCGCCATCTCTTCGGGCTTGAGGAATCGCCAGGCTTTGGGATCTTGCGGGTAGCCGACGAGAAACACAAAGGCGGCGCCGGCGATGACACAGGTCAAAATGCCTTCCATCACGAAGATCCACTGTGAAAGAACGACGTCAGCTCGACGAGTCGGACAATTGGACTGCCATGAGATGCCGCCCGCCGCAGATCCGAGGGGGAAAGCTTTGGCAATTCCTCGACCTGCAACCTCGGGAAAAGAGACAGAAAATGACTTACTTGCCACGCTTGCAGTCCCGCCAAGCCGTGCATTTGGATGAAAGCGTAAGCCAATATACCGGAGAATGACGACCCGACGAGGCCGATCAGGTAGTTGAATGCATAACGCCTTGCCATGTCATCTGAACCGGTGGAAACAACAATATTGGTCAGCATGCAACAGAATCGACCGGTCCTATTCTACAGGACAACGAAGGGGGGACTCGGAGGGGCACGAACAGCGAGTGTAGTAAAGCGAGATCAGGTAGATGACGCCGGGAAAGAGGCCACCTTCGAGGATACCCAGGATGATGCGAAGGCCGATGAGGACGGTCCAGTGTTTGGCGAACCCGAATCCCTTTTGAGACAAAGGTCAGTACGTATCGAAGTCGGAAACCTGAGGCCGCGAGGCGTTCGGATTTCGACCCCTCGCGGAGCCTGAGGGAAAAGAACGTACAATGACGAGGAAGCCCCAGAGCATGGTCATGGCCGGAAGAGTCCATCTCGGTCCCAATTTCTTGACGATGATCGCGCCGGGAACTTGAAAGGCGATATAGGGGGCAAAGAAGATCAGAACCACAATCGACTGTCCAAAATCGGGAAACCCGGTTGTCAGCTTCACACACATCCAGAAGAAGAAAAGTCAAAGGCGAGAGCTGCGGAAGAACTTACGTATCTTGTTCCTACGGTGAGCTCCAGGTCCTTTGCCATGCTGATTGCACATTTATGTCAGCCATTGCGTCGCAGGACGGTCTCCCCCTCGTGATTTGAAACCTCAAGGTTTGGGAGTGTGTGCGGCATAGTTACCCAGCAATGTAAGCGTTGGAAAGATTCCCGCGGTCCAACAAGCTGACCGCGACCATGAGGCCGCAGATGGAAAGGAGGCGTCGATCGATCTTATGGACAATCTTGCGGGTTTCGGCGTGAGTGTATGGCTCTGGGTCTGCATCATGTTCATCGCCAGAGTCGTGAGTCGCCACGCCGCCCGCGTCCAATTTGGGCGTGTCGACCACGTCGTGCGTGTTGGCTTTCTCGGCTACTGCCATGGTGTGCGTTCTGTTGACAAGGGGGGGTGGCCGTTGTTATTGGACGACAGGTTGCTCAAGCGAACGAGTACTGACGGAATCGCCCGTGCGATATGTAGAAACGTCGGACGTCTTGAACGATGTAGAGTGCGTCAATGTCTCTTTGCTCACATCGGCTTTTTATCGTGACTCTCGGGCAGAACAAACATTTCCCCCATGGGACCATGGGGACAGCAAACTCGGTCACCTTTTATACTCGACGACTGCAGCTTCGATTCACCGAGTCCAAAAACCCCTAGTGGAGAGGGCTGAGTGATGCCATACTGGAGCCGCGTGGCGACATTGACGCGAAGTTGATTCCTTACTGCGTTGTGGTTTGATACATCGTGAAACAACGAGAACTCTGTTGGAAAAAAAAGAGCCGACGACTGCCGTGGCGATACCGCGCATCGCCGACCAGAGCCGGTGGGGCGGCCAAGGCTGTTTGCATTGTGCTGTGAATATGCCTTGACATGGACTGGTCCCAACCCGCGGACTCTGGGGCTGGACTGCGTTTTGGACTGGGTTGGTCCCTTGCTGTCAATAGTCCAAATCCCAAGTGGACGGACCCTATAAGGTCAAATCCCAGTCCAGCCCAGTCCATGTCAAGACCTAGCTGTGGATATTTCCCGTTCACACCACTTCCCTGGGGCCACGTTGGAATGCCGTGCAGCCCCCCGCCTCGTCTGTCTCCGCTTCTCATCTTTGGACATTCAATCATCAGTCTGGGGAGACGAAAGTGGATCCGCAATACGGAGTAAATTAAGGAGTCCTCGGGATTGAGTTTTGATGCGCCATGTGCAGTAGCGAGGAATACGGCATACCTTTTCGGTGCATAGGACGCGCTGCCACGTGGTGGGCAACACATATCGATCGAGGCATGTCAAGGCTTCCAGCTGTCTCGGGTTATTCGTTCCTGGAATTGTTTCTTGCTCAGATGGCGCCGTTGCATTAATGTTCTCTACTAAGATGATAAGTCACGCGCGCACATGGCGTGGCTAAGAGATCGGGATTTCTTCCTCAGCAAACATGCCGATTTGATACCTGGAGATTCTCGCTTATGGTCGGTAGACAGTCCAAGCCACCAGCGGCTGTCCTAGGACAAGTGAACCCCGCCACTGGTTTAGGTTTGAGGCAAGGCGGAGGTGGGGGATGCCGCTGACTTTGTCTTATTAACCTCGACCAGACGTTTGCTAGCGCCCATGCAGCAAGCCCCGGACTCCAATTGGAGAGGGTGATGCTGATTCGCCCCGAAATCCCGGTCCCCTTTGGTCCCAAGGGTCTTGGGAGCGCCTATTCGTCGATGGCTGAATCACTCCCCGAGTCCAAGGCATGTCTCTGAGCAGAGACTTCCACAGAATTGATCAATTTCCAGTTCAGCCCTGGGAACTCAACTCGGCCTCAAAAGAAAACATTGATGTATCCCAGAGTTCGTCGAAAATGCTGCCGAAATCTTCCTGGGGCCACAGCGCATCACCTAGGTCCGGGTTTCTTTCTCGTGCTCCGTTTACCATGGTGACTTCGAGTCTTGGGCTGAAAGCTGCCGGAAAGGCGAATAGACCCTGCAAATCTGCCATTTGGGGTGAAATACGTTCGACAGGATTCTCGTCCCATGGGTTGGGTGAACCGGATCGAATTCTGACCTGGCTACGCGACGCGCGCAGACGCTCAATGGTCTTGAGAACGGGAATCGCTCCTGCAAACTTGATCTGCATGTGTTGAAGTGCTTGGACAATGTTGTCGAGCTCCTGAGCACAGAGTTCGCTTTGATTAGGCGTCGCGCTGTACTGTAATTGAGGAACCGCTGCCACCATCATGTACCAGGTGTTCATGCCAAGCAGATAGTTGATGTCGTCCCTTATGTACATCTCATGGTATAGGCGTGTGACACAAGACGAGGCCACCAAGGTCGCAAGGCTGCTGGCAGAAGAGAGCCTTTGGTCGCCAAAGAGGTTAAAGTAGGTCATGACGATAACAAAATACATGACGTGGGCTTCTGACACGTCACGATGGTACACTCTGGTGTTGAATCTGTCATATAGCCGAACATCTTCTGGAAGCTCCTCTAACCATTTTTTGAGAGATTCCAAGATTTGCAGTTTCTAAGTCGTTCCGTCAGCGATCAAATCGACATCGACGCAGCACTTCCACGGATATACACAGAAGCGCGTAGAGGATCTCTCAGACTGTTTTGTGGATAGGGGGTGGAAAGACATACTTTTGGGATATTTGATTCTCGCTGAGCGTGCAGGTCGTGGATTTGGGCTAATATTGTTGCCAATTTTGTAATCTCGATAAACAACAGGGTTGGGCGTGTGAGGATGTCAAAGTCTTCTGCTGTAGGTGGTGTGACATCGAATTCGTGCAACCTAATCGCTGCAGGACGACCCATGGCGGCTGACATGAGTTGATCTTGCGTCTGAGCGAGTGTGAGTAACCAGATCTCTCTGACGCAGTTGAGAGTACTCACAAAGATACACCACGCGAGTCTGCGGGCGATTTTGGGCTTGGCGATTCGAGCATAGGTACGATTGCGATGAAGTCCCATCTGATGCAGGAGCCTACAAGCCATGCCTTGCCACTGCCAGGCGCAATCGAAGGTGAGAATAAGATGTCCTTTGATGTTCCACGTCATCAACAGGCACATCGTCTTCATAATTGCGATATAATCGCTCTCGACGTCCAAATGGGTCATCATTTTGGCCCTTGTATAGTACTGCTCGCTCTCGGCCAGAGGAGCCGGACCTCTGGGTACTCGAAGCATGGATCCGACCATGCAAATGGCTTGACAGAGGGGTAATGATCGTTTGTCGTCCAGAAGATCTTCCCGCTGAACAATGGGGAAACGGTGATAGAGATGCTCAAAATACATGTCAGCATAAGCACCAAACACCAGGTCCGAAGGTAAGGAGACCAGCCCAGGAAGATGAAGGATTTGTTCCCTTAATCGTGTCGAGAAGACAGTGGTGTTTTCATGATCAGGTCTCAGTGACGGCATCTCAGGCAGAAGATACGAGGTGTCTCCCAGGTATGGAGATTGAACGGGGATGGCGGCGAGGCTCCTCTCATGCGTTTGGTCGAAGCTCGGATGCTCAATGGCAGTCGGGGCCTCGACAGCATGTCGCGCGGTCAGGCCGAGCGGATCGGGCCCCAGACGTGATGACGACTGAGCTGATACGGGGGAAGAGTAAATCTGACGAACAGTGGCTCTCTTGGAACGGCGTCGCCTAAAGATCGTGAGCAGATGTTTCCCTCATAAGTGAAAGCAATTGTCTCTGGCCTTACGTGCACACGAGATCATGCTCCCTGCAACTGGTGCACGATCCACCGCCTCGACTTTCGAGATCGCATTTGACCTTGCGAGAGTGACAGAGGTCGCACACTAGTTTCGCCCGACTGGACCGCAGTGAGGAAGTTGGTCGATCTGACGCCATGAGAAGGTCGGACTGTCAGCATGGTAAGACGGCGGTCGACCACGTCGGCGGGAAGATAGAACAGAGTTGTCCGATCCAGTACTGATTCTACAGTCTCAGTAACCTGGTCCTATTCAGGATCAAAGAGAATAAACTGGCAAGGTGTCGTCAGGTCGAGGTACAGCAAGTCAGCAGAGGACCTCGAGATGCGCGACATGTGTACGGAGCAAGCAAATACCTCATAGCTGCGAGTTTTTAGCCGGTCCGTACCAAAAGTGCTCGTAGCGGAATTATCGTAATGCCAAGGCTCTATATCTACTAGTGCACCAAAACAGGACTAGTCACATTACTAGAGGACATGGGAGTTAAGCATACGGATAAGAGTCATATCATCTAGGGAAAAGGGTGTCCCTGACTCATTGAGGCGTTTGGACTTCGTGGCAAGCTCAACCTCAGCACGGTGAGTTTTCATGCGCAAACTCAACATATTTGGTGTCTTGGTACAATGGCGGTGTCACAATGCTTTCTATCTCGCCCCCAACACCCACAACTGGTGACATGACTGACTTTTCCAACCCGAATCATTATTCTGTAATCGCATTCATGAGCGTGACCTTAGGGTACTCGTACGATCCATCACTCATAGCGGGCGACGATCCAAAGACGCGAACTGACACGTCAGTAATTGCATGGGCAGCGTGTGAATGGCATGTACTCACGAGTAAATGAGATTTCACCGCCTCCTGGTGGTGCTGGCAGCCAGCTTTGGAGGTAGTGTGTCAGTATAATCCACGCTCCGAACGTATGAAGCCTCGAGACTTACTTGGAGTGCCATGCCTTCGGAGGTGGAACATCTGCCGGTTGGATCAAAATCTCAAACTTACCGTCCTTGCGATCTTTCAATGGCGTTCCATCGATACACTTGAGGTCATTGCGATCCCCTAGAGCATATTGCTCCAGCTGGTTGGGGACGAACAATTGATCCTTGTTGTACAGACTCAAGCTCCAGAATCCCAAAGGTCGAAGCAAAGGCTCTCCACTGAAGGTAAACTTGATGGCTTGTCTGGGTCCAACCTGGACATCTGGTATCTCTGCAGTACTCCCGGCCGGAACATAGGACGGGTAAATGGCTTGATCAGATGACACTCCCAGATACCCACGCATCGCTACCAGATACCGCGCAGGGTAGAAGGAGCGGAAGTTCCCACAGATCATGGGGGCATTCGTGTACCAGCCATTTCCTTGGTTTCGCACGAAGCCAGCAGTCATCTTGAGAGCCTTCACCGACATGTTTGCCGCCTCGACTGCGGCGGCAAGGGATGTGTGTGGTGGCTGAACGAATGTCCCATCACCGCAGATGCCCGCCTTCTCCAAGACGTGGGCGATCCAGCCTCGATCCTGCACAACTTCGGACAAGTTGTACCTGGACAGAGCAGCTGTCAAGCGCAAGACCTGCTCCGGCTCAGACACAGGAGACTCTGCGGAGCCTGCAACCTCGGAGAAGATGCGAAGATCGAAAGCTGGCACGTCGGTTGGGTGTAGTCGAGGAACCATGTTGAGCTTGATCTGATTTTGAAACGCATGGACGTTCTTCACATCATCCTTCTGGTCTTTCAAGAGGATCCTCACCGTCCACACTCCGTACGGGGTCGGGGAATGGAGTACACCTTGCTCTTCCGAACCGTTGCCTTTGAGATGCAGTCCAAATTGATCCTCGGCAAAAGTGAGACGATAATTGCCAGGTCGATGGTCGTCCAAACCCATGACTGACGCATAGTGGTTACCGTACCTTGAGACTATCAGCGCGGGAGACCATTGTCGGGCAGAGGAACCTACATGTCGAAGAAAGAAAAGGACCAGAAGCGGCCATCAAATTTGGGAACAGAGATGACCATGTCAGATTGCGACAAGTCATAAAAAATCGACGAGTACATGGTGTCGTTATTAGGTCGAACGACTTTGGTCCACCCGGGCTTGATCACATCTTGCTCGTGGTATAGTACATTGACAGGTGAGCCCTGTTTCTTCGCAAACCTCCCGAAGGCGAACAGAGGGTACCCATACTATGGCCAAGTCAGTCGACACATCACCCACGAGTCTCATTCAAGAGCCAACTTGCCTGGTAGGCGAATCCGAGGGCATCTTGGGCGTCGCTGCTACCAGTGGTAGTAGCGCTGTCTTCGCCATTGACCAGTGGCTTCGCAATCATGTTGGATGTTTTGGTGATCAAGAATCAAATTTGCCGCATCCCATGTACTCCAATGGGTTGGGGACGTTTGGCTCCTATATACCGATACTCGTACGACTTGTATGTATCCGACATTCTTACCTACCAGGTAGATCAGCCAGACGGCCTTAAGACCCCTTCTTCCTGGAGCACTCTCATGCCAAGATATCGACGATTCACCAGCCTCAGCAACGAGATAGATTGCCGGATTGAGCCGACGAGTACCGAAGCTTTCTGTGGAGCTTTTGCGATGTCGTGATGGGCGCAAGTGGACTCAACGCGTGCTAGACGGCTTCACCCAGCCGAATTAGTCTCACATTATTGTTATTGCCATCGCATAGCTGGCTCCATATACCGCGTGATGATCTCAAGTACGGATAAGGAATAATCAGGCTGACCAGGTTCGAGATTGTTCCCGGATATCCGGTTACCGAGCCGCCTAGAGTTCGAGGTTTGCCGACCAGCCCCATGGTGACAGACTCAACAGAGAAGATATGCTGAGTATCCCGGTCAAGTTCTCTTTGTTGATGGAAAACGCTCGACTCGAACTGCTTTGACAGCTCAGCAAGCTCCAGATCCGGATCCAGATCCAGACATGTTATCGGATGCGTCAACCTTGCTAGAAACATGGACGAATTCGAGGCTTGAACAACACCGGAGGTTGCTTACAAGTTACGTGGCCACCCACTCACTACCTTTGGCATTTCTATCACTAGGTACACATACGTGCACCTATAAAGCCCGGATCACTTGTCTTTGCAGTCATTTTAGACCTCGGACTGCCCTCATGAAATCCTGCCCAAAGGGGCCATCTCCGCCTCACTATCCAGCAGTCACTGGGGTCTCTCCACGACCGGTCTCTGTTTCTCTTTCTGGGATCCTTGCTCGCCCCATTGCGAGGTCGCATATGATAGCCTGATAGGCTCTCCAATTGTGAATCAGTCTTACAGATGAGCCTACGCTGTAAAGGGAAGGACTGGAAGTCCCCCAGTCATGGTCGCAATCCGCATTTCGCTTGTTGCTCCGAGATTGCTGGAGTCTCCAGGATTTGAACACCAGATCCCCGACACAAGAACAACACCTCTACATCATTTGTCGCTGCCGAGGCTGCTGTTACTGCGACCTGCCAAACTCAGCTGGAACAACGTTCGTGCATTACCATATGCGGAGGGATTTCCAACGAGGCCTTCCCGCTTGCACCATGCGTGAAAGTACCTTCCTGGACGACGATTCGACCCGGAGGCGGCAGCTGTACAGGTGTGAGCGCCGCTATTATATAAAGGAATGCAATTCCTGCAAAGACATGAGGCGGGCACTGGCTGTTTAGACCTCTGGCAGGTCACAGGAGGTGTTGATCAGACGTCACACCAAGATGCGTTCTGTCGAGATGACTGCAGTACTCGGCTGCGTGCTGCTGGGTGTTCAAGTGACCTTTGCACAGACGCAGACACTGCCCAAAGTCGACTTGGGCTATGAGATTCACCAGGCTATTGATTTCAATGTGATTCCCAGACGTTCCCGCGGTTGGAAATGTCACGCAGCTAATTCCATGCACAGCAAACCGCGCCGCTGTACAACTTTTCCAACATAAGATACGCACAACCGCCTGTTGGGTCTCTTCGCTTTGCTGCACCTGTGCCACCTGTGGGGAGAAACCCCGTGATCCAGGACGGCAGCGTTGGCAAAGTGTGTCCCTCGGCCATACCAAACTGGTCGCCTATCGCCAGTGTAGGGGACGCAGATCTCATAGCAGGAAACGTGTCCACCTTCGACTACAATAGCCTCAATGAGCAGGTGCAGGAATACTGGTCACAACACCCCCCACCAGCACAGACTGACAGCAGGGCGACCGAGGATTGTCTCTTCCTAGATGTCATTGTTCCCAAAGAAATATTCGATAGTCGCCAAGTACACCATCCTAGGCGACGCTGGAACACTGGAGGCGGAGCTCCGGTAGTCATATGGTATGTCACGATCTCTTGTTGAAGGCTATTTAGCTCATGAGGTCAGGGTTTACGGCGGCGAATATACTCTTGGTTCCAAAGAGTAATGGGGTAACCCGTCTGGTTTGATCGAATCGAGCCGGAAAGGTGGCAAGGCCGGTGTTGTATAGGTCGCATGTAACCCCTTGCCGCGTTATGGGATTTTCCTTTAGCGCAGCTTTCACGCTGGAATGGAATATTGATTGACCTTCCTGCATCTTCGAAGGGTACAACAAGCAAATATCCAACGTCTCGTAGGACGTTGAGTCGAGGGGGCCGCCATGTCACTCGCCATCTGTACCGAGTGTCTGTCCCGACTCCGTATATCTCCTCACAACAGCCTTGGTCGGGTGGCAAAGGGTGCGAGCTTGCTCCCTCAAACGGCATCATTCCATGCATCCGCGACGCAGAAAGCCAACCCAACGCCCGGCAAAAAGGGAGACAAGATCCTCAAATTCCGCGGTTCTCAATCCGCCCGGTTAAAGAAGAAGGTTAGAGAACGTCTGAAGCTGCCTCCCGTGGGGGAACGCCGAGCTCAGAGACGACGCATCGTTCTGAGCAACACCAATGCTCTGCCGGTCGACGACATGGAGAACTGGAACAAAGGCAACATAACAGACTCGCAGCTGGTCGGTAAAGTGATGGGGCTGGACGGCGAGCTGCTCGATCAGCTCCGGGACGCAAAGGCCTTCGAGCGCACGCAGAACTGGAACCTGTTCCGCAGACCTGGCACCCTGATTCGCGACGAGACGCTGGCCGTCGGCAAAGAGGTGGAGACCTTGACCAAGACTGCAGACAGTCGAGTCGTCAAACATTTGGTGGTCGGAGATGCGCATGCAGGGAAAAGCATCCTGATGCTGCAGACAATATGCATGGCATTCATGAATGCCTGGCTCGTTTTGAGCGTTCCTGAGGGTGAATGGTTTTTCTACTTCTCCTGCTTTTCTTTGACGAACCATGCTACCCAAGTCAGACTGAACAATACTGATTTCCCCTTAGCACAAGATTTCATAAACAACACATCATCTTATGCCCCTCTACGTGAGAAGGAAGGCGAAGGCGCGCCACGAGAGCAACGCTTCATCCAGCCACGTCTGGCTCAGAGTTTCCCCGAGCGCGCCTTGTACTCGAACGAAACAATCCTTGGCGGCCTGAAGATCAATCACGAACTGCCCAAGAACATCACGCTGAAGCAGTCGTCCACCTGAAAGATCTGGTCAAGATCGGTGTCGACGACCACACACGGGCGTGGCGAGTGTGGCAGGCTTTCTGGAGGGAAGTCACCGAACCCGGCACGAACCCCCGGCCGCGGGTGCTACTAGCGGCCGACAGCGTCGACCATTGGATGGGCCCTTCCAAGTACCACGATGCCGAACACAAGATCATCCACTCGCAGCAATTCATCCTCGTGCGGAGCTTCACCGACCTCATGTTCGGCAGAAAGACGGCCTCTTTCACGAATGGTGGCATGGTCATGTTCTGCTCCACGGGATCCAACAGCCCCGCCTATCCGAGCTTCAAACTACTCCTCGATAAGGTACGCGCCCAGGCTCGAGGGTTGTCCACGACATCTCCCGATTTCCCGCTCCCCAGGCCTTTCAGCAAGCCTGATCAGCGCGTGCTTGATCTCTTCGCTGGGGCAGAAGGCGTGAAATTGGTCGACCTCAAAGGTTTGACCGTCCCCGAATCCAAGGGCTATCTGGAGTATTTTGCCAAAAGCGGACTCCTCAAGGCCAAACTCGACGATGCAAAAGTTGCCGAATTGAGGGGGTTCAGCGCTGGAGGTATCGTGGGAGAGTTGGCAAAACTGGGAAGCCGGATCAGAACTTAGAAGCCCTGTGCGCAAAGTCTCCTTTTGGTGCTCACACTGCGACCCAAGTCCGACAGCACCTATTCACGACTGGATGAAGGACGCTCGTCATGAGACGTATGGTGGTGCTGGTCGTGGAATTTCACAGCTTGGGGAGGACAATCTGTCAAAACCGCCTCCCTAGATACCTACCTGAATAGTCTCTTGTGACTTTCAAACACAGATCGACAGACAGTGCCATTGCATTCCGGGGCTTTGTTTTCACTGCCGGAAAAAGTGACGAGCGGTACGAGGATCGGCAGGTGCTGCACGAGGGAGGTGAATCCTGCGGGCACAAGACATCAAAGAGAAGAGGGGTAAGAATTGGTGACGATATATTTGCTGGCCTCTTGTCAGCGGTATTGACTAGATCTAGTGTGTTCAACAGAGGAAGAAGTTTGTTTTATGCCAATACTTCAATCTGCGAAATCGACAGATAGATTCAAACAATGAGGGTCCCAATGGATGAAACGGCTATGGGTCTCTTAACTTCCTTACGCGATCCAGAAAGCACACTTTGTCTTTCAACCGGCAGAAGTGGGAGATAAGGGGAGGGCGACAGGACTCATTCAGAACTCGTCAACATGACCGCCGAAGGTCAATAGCGTAAACAAAATAGCCTTGTCAAAGAATAGCACGCACACGTCATCGGCCAGTCTTTAGGACTGTGAGGGATGGCTCTCGAAAGCGAACTACTGATTCAGTTAAAGTCGGTTAGCTGTAGTTCAAAAAATTAAAGTGGTCGTGATTGAGAGCGCAGCCTATCCTTGTCCTAGATAAATAAGCGCCCTCAGCAAGCCGCATGTGACACCCAACCTAGCCCATTTGATTGGATGACAGTGCTGCTCGCCTCAGCCTACGCTCTTTCCTGTGCCAACGGACCGGAAGGCTTCGACTCTTTAAGAGACCGACATGACACTGTATTGGTTAATGTGAGAGCGCTTGCTCTCCTCTGTAACACATGATATCACCCGTTAAAGAGGCCACGAACGTGCAGAGTCACGAACAGGCTAACCTGCACGGTAAGAGCCTCGAAAACGACAGAAACGCAGGATCAACGAATCGTTGACATTTTTTAGACAAACGACACGCCGTGCAGAGCGACGACGGCGAACATCCTCACAAGATTCGCCGCCTATCAGACCTTCAACAAGCCTTTCCGGATTCCCTGGTGAAAGACCTCACTCCTGAGAGCCCTCCCGAGATCCCCCCCTCGAAGCTGCAGAGTCAGCTTCCATCTCCGTCTGCCACAAAAACCGATGACGTGAGTGGATGCAATGAACGTCTCTCCGGGAGGAAAGATGCTGACCAGGTGCGCCAGATCCATCGCGAATTGTCTCCTGTACCAGAACGAAAGACAAGGTTACCGGATAGGCACACCGAGCGCGCATCTGCGAAGAGCGCCCGCTCGCCTTTAGAACTATCGGACAGCGGTGCACTTATGGAGAAGTGGCTATCAAGCGTTCTGCCTAGCGAGGAATACGCTGTCCAGGACGACATGAGTCTGCCACCCTCGAAATGATCTCGGTCCTCAGATTTGTTAAGTCGTCGACTTTCACAATCCGGCGACGCCACGAAATCCACGGTTTCAGCAGACAAGAAATACTCGGCCTACAAAGATATAAACTACCCGGCGGTCTTGGAGACGAAAAGCAGCTTTATGCAGTTATCTGATGCTGGTCTTGTGCAGGAAGACAAGATACTGTGCGAGAAGCTTCTCTACACGCACTAATCGCGTCTAGATCATTCGTTATTTGATGACCGATTCGACAAATTCCAGACTCTGATTCGAGGCCGATCCGAAGCTCGAGTCTACCTCGACCTGCATTTTCTCCTTGTCTCATCGGTTAAAAACCTGTATATTAGTGGCCGAGAAGAATTTCACGGTCTAATCGAAGGTCACAATAACCCTTGGGTTAAAGGAATTTCGTTTTACAGACCCCGACCGCAGCCGGACCGTACATACAGATTCAAATAGTCCAACTTTACCGAAATTCAGCGCCGGAAGCTCTGCATCGAACCTTTGGAGGAGTCGTACTACACACCGCGCGAGGATATCTATTTTCCCTTCCTGACTAGCGAGGTGAAGTGTGGGAAGTAGGGGCTTAACTTGGCAGATCGACCAAATACTCATAGCATAACCGTTACACTCCGGAGAATTGTGAACGTCTTTCGCAAGGCTAACCGTGCTTCGTGGGTGCACAGAAGGGCATTAGGATATTCTATTTCACATGACGACCGGAGCGAGCGTATTTATGCTCATTATCCTGAGGTGCAGGGTGAGAACACGTTGTACTATCGCGAGACGATCAAAGAACTCAACGTTGAAGATAAATCAGGAGAATATAGATGGATCAGTTACCAGTTTACTCTCAACGTTTACCAAATCTTTGCTCCGGCTCTGCTCAAGCGACTCACCGCCGTGATCGATGAGCTGCCTGATCCGCTTACAAGGACACTCGAACCGGCCAACATTGATGACCTCGGCGTACAAAGCTCACAGGATGACAGCAGTGCGCCCAAATCTCAGGATAAGGGGTTTCGCAAACCGCAGCGAGGGAGGGGCTTGAATGCCGAGTTTCGAACCATGATTCAGAACCTGCAACGGCAGCTAGAGCAACAGCGAAAAGGTTTTGAGCAACAGCGCAAAGATTTTGAGCAACAACGAAAAGACTCCGAACAACAACGCAAGGATGCAAAGAATAGGGAGAACATGTTGGTGGCTCAGCTAGAACAGCAACGAAAAGACTCTGAGCAGCAACGAAAAGACTCTGAGCAACAACGAAAAGAGCTTATGCAATTGCTCAAACAGCATAGTGACCAGATCAAGCAGCAAAATGAACAGCTCAAACACCAGAGTGAACAGATCACAGAGCTTCTGCTGAAGCAGTGATGCATCTCAGATCTTTCCAGTCGTCATGTCCTCCACTGCTCAACATGGAACCCAAGGGTTCCCGCCAACTATATAGCTGCTGCAGAGCGGCTGGTTTTCGAAGTCCTAACGATTTCGGTGTTCAATTCTACAAATGAACATTAGTCATTAGGGTTGCGGAGGTATCCTGCCTGCAGCGATATGAGAAATATCACTGAATCTGCGGGATCGAAATTCACCTCCGGGTTTCAGATGTAGCTAGACTGACCTGATTATGTCTATCATGGCCAGCGATGAGGTCATAATGGACGAGGAGGCAACTTGATCGGCAGAATCTGTTGACCAAATTCGGCCTTCGTTTTCCTTGCCGAGTATGTCGAATACACTTTCATCATTCATGTAAAGGTCAGGCCCCATATAAATAGCACGTTTCCCGCGTACGGAGTTCCCCCAGTTACACTAAGTATCTTGCGAATAAACTCTTAACATCTGTCTCACCCCAGCAAAGCCCGAATCTATGTGCGTTATTCCTAGTTCTAGTAGTACTTACCAAACAACACAGGAAGTGCGGCTTGTGTCCGCGGGTCTTGTGCGCGATAACCTAACAGAGAAGGCTCCGGAGAGACCCTACGTAGAAGTGGCCGATATAATTATAAGATGAAATGGTGTACGGAAGCCGCATGGTTCTTGAAGTGCGATTTTCCTTCGAAAACCATTCCACGGCAAGCCATGTTATCGGGGCAAGGAATTTGATCCTACTCTCGAAAGTGCCGTAGGCGACAGCGTGCGGCATGTCTCTGGAGGGAGTGCTTACCGGCATAACGTTTCTCCCGATCTTCTTGGGGTAGTTCACTGCACAAGCAGAAGAGACACTGATGTTGCTGACAGGTCAACGGGGTAATACGCTCGAAGGTCAATAAAGGTGGCAAGCCATGAGTATCATGTACGCTAGCCGCGGATCCTATTTTTGTAGCTAAAGATGTTTCTCTCGTCGATCGTCGCTCCCTTCGTTAACATAGCGCGATCATCGTTAAGGAACATTTTGTGTCGTGATAGAGCCTTGGGACCGGTGAATACCGCCGAGTCGCTCATGGCCGCTTCCGCAATCTGCCGTCGGTCGGGAATCTTGATCTGTGTCGAGTCCGACTCTGGAGCCAGCTCTTGCCCCTCGGCCGAAGTTCCTTTGATCTGCCGCTGGATTGCCTCAATAGGAGCCGTTTCGTCGTACTGCCGCTGACTGCATTTCAATAGAGCTCGCTCCTCGGCTCGAATCGTGCTGTTAACCATTCGGTCCAACTTCTTATACTCCGTATGAATTGCTTCTCCAACCGCCATGCGAAGCACTCCGAACTCCCGAAGAATGAGACTGCGAACCCGATCTCGCGACTCCAGAAGCCGGTGGATAGATGGCAACTGTTGAACCCGCTGGCTCAGTTTGTCGGTCAGCTTCCTCGGCCGGTTGGGATCGCGAAGACGTCCGATGCGGTTGGCCGATTTCGCCGCCTGCGGATTGGCCTCCGGGTTCTAGAACGCGTCAACAACGTCGTGCGACGGGTTTCCGACAAGGCCTCCTCATATTTCTGGGCGAGGATGTCAAGTGTGCAGACGTCATCGATAGTATGACTGGAGTATGAACCCCCGGAACTCAGGTTGACAGTGGTCAACTTCTTTCGGCGAGGCATGTGGCTCGAGGAGACGAGGAAGATCGAAAAGAATGAAGAGGAATCCTAGGAAGTGACGAAAGTGACGAACGTGCAGTCGGCATGTGGGCGATGCCGTCGTACATATAGTCCAGGGCTCGCGCAGCCAGCACAGCGGTTGGCAAAGGGCGAGGGGCACCAGGGTATCGCGAGAAGCGAGCTGGCTCCCGGCTTCGTTTGGGCGGGGGCATTTTGACAAAGGGACATCATGGGAACTGCAGACAATTTGAAATTTGCGAGAACTCGAAGAGTCTCAGTCCTAGGTTTTTAGACATGGGTTCGTGGCCGCGGATGCATGTTTTTGAGATTGTGACGTGAGACACAAAGATGGTCGAGTGAGAAAGTCGAAGGGCAGGATACTGTGCAGGCGTTAAGAGTGCTACAAACTGATAAAGGGTTGTACATGAAATCGTCAAAAGCGGCGACGAAAACGTGGAGCCAGTCGATGCAGAGTGTCACGAAAGCACTCAATTCCCGCCCTTAGTAAGATTGGCACCTTTCATTATACGTCCACCGTCGGGGTGATGTTCAGAACCACTTCAGACTGCGCGGACCTTTACCATATGTACTCCATCCTCCCTTTTCCAGATTGCGAACTCGCAATCCCGCTACCATCAAGTCGGACTATGAAGTAGCTTCCTTACACCTTTAAATCTCTACCACGTGTCATGGGGCGCTTCCCGACACCCAGCGCTTCAGGCCATTCACAATCTACCAGGCGCTATATTGCACAGAGAGAGATCACAACAGCTGCGCTACCCGGGACAAACGCCGCAACCAAGGGCGCAGACGGACCACATACAACACTCCATGACCCGCGTCGAATACAGCATGCGTGCGAGCCTTGCAGGCTGAAAAAGACGAAATGCAACGGAGAAAAGCCCGTATGTAGGCGTTGTCGTGGATTGGGATTTGTGTGCGTCTACGCAGACAAAAAGCGGGACAAAGCAAAGAAGTATGTCGAGACGCGCACATATAAGCCAGACTGTTGAACCTGACAGAAGCTGTGGTAGGATCGGCAAGAAGCTAGCTGATTGCGAGGCTTTGCCCAAAGTTTTGGCGAACAGAGTTCTCGAGCCCGAGGCGAAGTTCATAAAGGCATATTTAGGAGAAGTATGGAATTCCTAACCGTGTAACCATGTGGTGTTAAATGCATTAGGAAACCGCGAGAGACTCGGATATACAAGACACCGACGTTGAAGCTGCTCCCCGGACTGGGACTAATGAACACCGGGGGACTTCTGCAACCAATTCTGAAGATTCAACCTCTGACCGGAGAGACCCCGTACGGTACAAAAGAGGATTTTACGCGTGAAGGGGCGACAGTAACTGGCTTTATGGGGCCGACTTCCGAGGTGACTTGGATGCAGACTGTACTGAATGATAACAATCTCGACGGCTTGCGGCCAACCTCGACGCGTCCTCCTAGCGACGCCAAAAAGCACAATACTGGCTCCCCTCTATCAAGTTCCGGACAACCTCATGGAAATGCCACATCCCGTGTGGCGGAGGCAGATCACTACTTCACGATAAACAGCATGAGTTACCATTTGGACGATACTCCCCTGTCCACCTTAGAACGTGTTGAACCATACGAAATGCCACAGGCCGAGACTGCCCAGTTTCTGTTTTATACTTATCTCCAACACGCGCAGTCAACGTTCCCCATCATTGGAAAATCAACCTTTACATCACAATTTCACCGATTCTTGTCGAATCCCTTTCAAAGACCTCCTCACCTGTGGCTCGCAATTATCAATACTATTTTTGCCATTGCCGCCAGGTATGCCACCCTTGTTCGGGCCGACGGTAACAGAAATATCGAAGACCATCTTGTGTACTTCAACTGGGCCAGATATCTCGCTATCAATAGCGAGACATTGTTCGACTTCCCAGACCTGCAGCTTATCCAGGTATTCGGATTGATGTCTTTCTATTTTCTCTGCACCAGCCAAATCAACAGGTACGAAACTGATGTCCAAGACCGATGCAAAACTAACACGACAAGAGCTTGGGTATTGATAGGGATTGCTATGTCACATGCAACGGCCCTTGGCCTGAACTTACGGAACGACAGTACCCAATTAAAAGACCAATTGAAGGAAATCCGCTACCGAGTTTGGTGGAGCCTCTATGTTCTCCAGCATCGACTCTGCATAATTACCGGACGCGTCCCTTGTGTCTTCGACCAACAATGCTCAACGCCGCTCCCAGCTCCCCTGGAAGAGAACGAATTTGATACAGACAGAGGTTTGGAGCTCCTTGGCAAGGAATACCAACATGGTCCTCGAGCACCCTCTTCAAATATCTATGTCCGGAACCGTTCGACATCCACATGTTCTACCGATGGAGATCGCTCTTTTCCGCCGCACCAACGATCCCAATCATCTAGAACCATATCGATGCCACAAGTTGGATTATACTGGGCAAAAGATGTTATAGCTAACCCATCCCTTTATTTTCTCCATCTCACGCAGTTAGCAAGACTCAGCCAAAGTATCCTTTCTCAGATTCACAGCATTGCTACTGGCATCCATCTGCAGTCCCGACTCGAAGATATTGAAATTCAACTCGAAGATTGGGTTCGCAATCTTCCGCCCGTTTTCGACTTCCGGTGCAACAATAAGGAACAGAGTTCCCGTGCTCTCAGACTTAGTCTAGTGTTCTTCTACTATGGAACACAGCTAATAACCTATCGATCCTTTTTGGACCGATTGCCAGATCTAAACCTTACCCGTCAGTCCAAAGGTTCAGATACTTTCGACTGCTCAGCTGCCACACGTTCCGTTGAAGCCGCGAAGGCTATAATCCACCTCGTCCCTGACGAGTCCAATGCTGAAGATATTATGCAGTGTGGGCCTTGGTGGTCTGTTTTACCCTGGCTCGTGCAATCAACTTCGGTCCTCATTCATTGGCTATCTTTCCCTGTGTATCGTGCAGCTGAAGGTTTCCGCGATACCTTTGAGACTTTGAAGAAAGCAATAAGGCTGCTCCACGCACTCGGCGAACGTAACCTCTCTGCCAGCCGAGCTTGGAGCCGATGCAACTTTACCTTGCGTGCAGTAGCAGCCAAGGCTGATGTGGACGTTAATGCTTCCAGAGCAGACTATCTTTTATGGTGCTCCTTCAGCACGCGGCACATTAAATATAAGAGGAGTATCTTCACATGAAGCCACAACACTTTTTCAGCACTACCCCTCCGCCCGTACGGTCCTTACGGCGACCCAGACACTTTCACCTCCTCAAAGCCGCGCCGGTTTAAAAGGCCTTATGCTTTTTGACCCCCGACTCGGATGGAGTGAGCATGTCGAACTGAACCGTCCAGACGGGGAGTTCTATCACAATGCGGCCTATTGAGACTAGAGACGCGAACGTAGTGAGATGGTCTTCGTCGTATATTGTCGACGCAAAGCTTCTGTATATTTCGTCGAAGGTTGGTACGAACCAGGCCAATCGAAGGTCGCAAGGTTCGGCATCTGAAGACGGATGTCAATTCAATAACAGTTATCCTGACACCGTGGCAGTATGAATGGCGACGAAATCGCTTCCAAAACTGACGAAATATCCGATCCTCCCCGCGCCGCAGCAATGGTTGGCCGCCACATAAAGTCGATACTACTACATTCCTTGATGTCCAGCTGCGTCCACGTGACGGGTCAATAGAGTCCCGAAATCCGAGGAATAAGGTGTCTAGTTATATTGCTTGGTGCGAGAATCAGGTTCTGGAGGCAGTTGCTTGGCCTAATTACGGCTGGACATAGGCATTGATCCGAGATGGCTTGGCTGCAAGCAGGAGAAGGAGGTCGCAAAGTCACTCTTTGGTATCAAGGGCGCACTACCTAGGTTCCGTCAACGGATAAAACCTCATTTTCCAGCTAATCTAGACCTAGTGCCGCAATCGAGAATCTCAGCCATACCTGGTCGGGCGGTCTCGTATCTAATAAGCCTAGCACTCCCGATTCCCTCCAGGCGAAAGACCCTGTTTCCTCTCTGAAGCTTCCTTCCACAGCCAATTAGAAGTAACTACCTCACCTGCCTCTCGAGCGATAGCGTTGCTTCGGGAGAGTGATCGGACCGATGAGTGTGAGGCATGAGATTGTCCTCTTATCGGCCCACCGTTAGCCACATCATTTACGAACCACAGGTATCCAGGGCTGCAAAGAAGACTAATGGAACCTCGAAGCCGCTTAACGAAAAAGCGTATGTTAAGGTGTCTCGAAGCAGCGACAATACTGGACTCTAGCGGTAGGAGAAGTAGAACAAGTCACATCCTCCCGTCAGTTCCCCCTCGGTAGTCCTGTACAAAGGTCACCCATTCTAGGTTGCCCGATTCATCCCCTACTTCCACATCCATCATCACCAGACTCCTGCTCACTCTGAGTAGATCTTCGTCAAAACGTATCCTCCCCTGCTCGAAAGCAACGATTATACTACCTCCGAATTGAAACAGCCCTAATTCCTCGCCTTTTTCCACCTGTGAACCCTCAGTCCTACACTTTTGGTTAATTTCCCTGGTTCCCACGTCTGTGGCGCCGCTTGCCACAAAGAGCACACGTCCAGACGACGGGCTGTTGATGCAGATCGCGCAGGGAGCGTTTACCGTCAAGACGTCGATATCGGATCGCAAGCAGAGCGGGTCCACTTGGTAATACTCTCCAGGAATTTGCCTGTACCATTCCACAGTGCCCTGGACCGGAGAGTGATACCGATGATAGTCTTGCGGACTGAGTCTGAACGACGTGATCGCACCGTTCTCCCACATTTTGGCGGCGGAAACGTCTTGGATCAAATTACCGATGGTGAAGTTTCGTCCTTTTGTTCATAGCCCATTTAGTCTCGGAGACGCTGGGGTAGACTCCAAGCCGGCAGTCCGCGATAACGACGGCGAGAGAGGAGCCATTCTTTTGGAAGATTGGACGGGCGCCTGGCTTGTGTCGCCGCTCAAAGAATTCTTCGAAAGTGCGGTACGCTTGGACGTCTGTGGGCGTGAAATCTTCCATGTTGATGTGATAGAACTCGACGAAGGATTCTATCTGCTTAGCAGAGGCCAGAGTGTAGCAGAGGCCAGAGTGCCTTCTTTCTTGCCAAATCTTATCGTCTTCCCGTGAATCCAATACCTCAGCAACCACGTTCGGTCGAACCACTCTATGGGCCGACTAAACAAGAGTCATAGCTTGACTTTCTTGTAGATGGGTTGTTATTCGCGCACATAGCGGCCGGTCTTGCGATTGAGGGTCTTCCAGCCGACCTCACGATTTTGGACTAGCTTGACGGTGGCGAGGGCGCTGTCCAGGAGGTAGTGAAAGTAGCTGATGATAGCATCCATCTTCCGATACTGCTGCTGTTGTGACAAATCCGGACTCAAATTTGGGGTTTCCTCCTTGTTGAGAGATGAGAAGTATCTTTGAATTCGCGAGGTTGGAAATTCGACACTATTTAACTTGATTACGTCATGCGAAACGGACAACGCAATGGGACTTAGGCTAGACGCCGAAAATTCATACATTTCAGATACACTTGTTCTGCCTTACAATACGGTCGTTATCCGTTGCCAAGCATTTTAAAAACTCTAGTCAACGGGTTCATCCCCTTCGTTAACTGTCCCCTCATTGAGTTCGTCTATTTGAACTGTTGGTTGAGTAGCTTGTGTAAAATCTACCCAGAGACTGAAGGTTATTTGAGACCGTGAAGCTCCTCTTCGGAAACAATCCAATAATGCACCAATTTCTTCCTGGCTTCCATAGCGAATGACCGTTAGAAAGAATCCAGAAGTAATTTTATTTCAAGAAACTCTTCCAGATAACGTCGGCAACGTGTACCGTCCGGCAGATCCTCTGGGCGTCGTTGTTGGCTGGGTTGGCAGGGAGTAGGATCCACTGGAGATACCCTTGTCATGTTTAGGGGATATCTTGCTTTCCGGAAGCTTACATACTAGGCCACAAGCTTGCGGGGTTTTGTTCAAAGAAAGGCTAGTAGACTGCCCGATTATGGTTCCTTCAATAAACTTCGTATTAGATTTGTACCAAAAGTGACGTTCTACTATAATAGTGATGTGAGCTCTAAAAATCAAGTCTGCTCCCTGAAACTGTCGTGTTCTACTTCTGCCGTCGCGCTTACCGGGTTAAGACGTAAACCAGCGAGGTCGATGGAAACTTCAACCCTCTCTAGCGTGCGGTACGTCCCATCGACGCTTGGTGTCGAATGCCCTTATCAGGAAGTTAGTAACAGATTTTCTCAGTGTCTAATATCTACCTTGACTAGTTTCACGATTGGTCATTCTTGTAGTCGCCGAGTGCTTTAGGCGTCCGTTAAGAGACTAGGAAGTACGCCTGCTCTACCTCGACCACTGCCCTCCAATATGGCCAGCTTCGCCGACACATAGCACAACCGAAGAAGAGAGGTAGTGAAAAGGAAATTACCGGCTTGATAGCCGATACCTTCTAAGAATGCCCTGGCAGGGTCTGAATGCCGGGCTTCATCCTTGCACTCCTAAGTCTGGTCGGGATTATCTTGAGTACGAACACATCCGCTGTCGTGGACGATCCTTTGCTTTGTGCCCTTAATGGGAATGATCTAGCATTGCGCCTCTGATCTCGACAGTTTTCAAAAGTTGTGATAAGTGGTACATCATGAAATGCAATCTTGAGGGTACAGGGAGCTCTCCAACTTGTCAACCTAGTATAATAATATTGATCCTTCCTTTGCTTATGCCCAAGGCTGAGGCCAAGCGTTGAGACACGCACTTGTCTCAGGGTCACACGACTGACCATTGCCCCCCGTTAGAAGAACTCCCTGTGTCTTACTTTTGTTTTTGGTCGTGCGTAGTATTTACGTGCGACTGTACGTTGCTATCACCCGGCATCGGTGACGAGAGTTTAGGAATTTCGCCGGATATAGGATGCTGCTTTCCAGTTCGTGGATGTCCAGTCATGGAGTCATCAGTGGCTTTGGAGATTGCAAGATCGCCCGAGTCGAAGAATTTGCGCTCCTGAAAAATGTTAAACTCAAACACGGAGCCTGATAAAGACGGAAACCATGAACAGTGACTCACTCACTTTCACCTGGGAACGTAGGAGGATATTTTGCTTGGGTAAAGTCCCGTACCGTGCATAGACCTCTCTTTCACGCTCGGTAGGGGCCTGATAAGATATGCGTCAGTAAAGATTTCGGATTTGGGGGCGCTCTTGCTTTACCTCGTTTGAGTCCTCCACCCTTTGGGACATTGAATTGTATATTCACTGCTCTAAGTGTCCTAGTAGATATACATGAGAATGGCGCTTGTTATTCCCAGACTACCTGCGAGTTCGTGTGCTTATAGGTCGTCCTTATGACTTATCCCGACCAAAAGCTATGGCAGGTGTGGGGTTGCGTTAGTGGACTCGGAATGAATTCACCCTTCCTAGATTTCGCTCTGAAGATCGTTGAGGAATTGACCTTAACTAATATAAGTGAAATTTTCATTGCCAGACAGACATAATAAAGCTAACCTGACGTCGTGGCTTCCTTATCCGGCCAGAGCCTAGATCTACAGTAGACCATTGCATGCGCGGATGAATGAGCCGGTAAATCCGGATCGGCATAAGCCGTGACATTCGAATCTTTCCTTGCGGATGATCGGAAATGCACTTCCATCTTGAGGCGAACTATGCATCCGACCCAGCTTTGAGGGAGAAAAATGGGCAGAGGTCAAGTACGTGTCGTACAGTCGATCTCTTCTGGCTCATAAGCTCGGTACTGTGCAAATAGGCATCGCCAGGGTGATTCCGGCACAACCTGGCACAACCCGAAGACTGAGTTCAAATTGCTTCTTAGAAACCCTCCCTCAACGGCCATTCCTGTTTTTGCTTAGTTTGGACCAGTTGAACTGAAATGATAACCGCAATTTCCTTTCTGGGAGGATTGTTCCAAGTCTCATCGACCAACATCAGCCGATATCCGGATCGATAGGTTTGCTGCAATTGGCTACAAGGACACCATGACGTTTACTGACGTGATATCTGGTACAGAAATGATAGCAGGAGGCCTGGTTTCGCGGCTGGCGAGGCAGGTGAAGGAGGTGCTCCTTAAAAGCAGAACTCCACTAGGGTCAAATGCAGGCATGGCAGCTCTATCAATCCCTGTGGTTGGGGATGCCACGGGGGGTAACAAACCCGGAGCGACCGAATCATCAACAGTAGATCATAAACGGTGCGAACGCGGTCATTGGTATCTGAATGAGCGTCCATGTAGACTGAAGGGTTTGATGGGCTAAAATATCCCCCAATTGAAGTCGTCGTAGACTTGATGAGCAAAACATTGCTTCCTGTCACGGACTCACATCGCGTCGACCCGATTGGCATTGGCGTCGACTACGGCGGTGCCTGCGCTGACTTACTCGCGCAGCCCTCTCCACGGTCCATAGTCCTTTGAGTTAGTTATTTCCATCAAGGAGACCATGCGATTATGAGATCCTGATATTTCCACATTTACAGCACAGGACTCTACTGAACTGTGTGAAAGACGTTACCTTTGGGCGGATAATATTTTGGGACAGTGCCAAAGTTCGGCCAAGACCCTGAACATTCCTCAGCGATTTTCCAGTTCCACGCAATTTCTACTCGGTGAAAGAGGAGGCGGGGGGGTGCATCATTTGAGCCGATCGGCGATGCGAAGAGCCAACAAATCATATACGGGTTTGCAACCTGGAAGCCGAGACATTATCTTAGCCCCAACCAAGGTAGCGCTATCAACCATCGCTGAAATATTCAGATGGAGAGCATTTTAGCCCGCGCAGTGGGTTCTTGATGAGCAAGCACATGGATATCGTTTGATTTTATGTAGAAGTGCTCCGCAAATCCGCCGCGTGCAGTTTGCGAACAGAATCCCGCCAAGCTACTTCCTGCGCCTTTACAGAGTTATCAACATTCTGGCCATGACAACTAAGTCCTCGCATTATGACAGATATTTGGCCTTACGTGGTGCTCTGGGGCCTTACGCAGTACCTGGATGGATTTGTGGGCGAGGGATTTGACCCTTGGGAAATCTTGATGGATACCCAAGAAAGTGGTGGCCAGTCAGCTGGAAAAGCATCATGGCGGGCTGATAAGGTCATCTCGTAAAGCTCTGAGTGTCCAATTGGGCCATCGCAGAGTGAGTCTGTACCGAACCCACCATTTTTCCCAGGAAGTAACATCAACGCAAGAAACTTCAGTGGGCGGTCAAGGACTATCGCCATAACCAGGACAACCGTCCAAAGGGAGAAAGAGGGACAAGAAATGACGTGTCAGCCGATGTGGGCGAGGGTGAATTTACGAGCGCAGAGAGGGGTTTGTCCGCTCCTGTGAGCAACAGGAGGTATTGGCGTCGCGCTAGACCCGACGAAAGAGTGCCGCAACGCCCAGCTTCGGCCTGCGCGATCTTTTCCAACAAGGTCAGGGAAGACCCAACAGATCAGCATCCATCCTTTGTTGAACTTGCAAAGCTTGTCGGCGCTCGATGGCAAAAACTGGACGACGCAAGTCGGGAACAGTTAGTAAGGCCAAACCCGCTGCTGGCGCCAAGGTAGGTCCTAGATGGAAGGTATGAATGACGTCAGTTCCTTCCCCTGCGTTTGGATTGAGCTAGGACGCGCCTAACAGAGCAAGGGGCAACCAGAGGGCCCGGGAAGACCTAAGAAAGAAATCGAACGGATATAGGTTTTGAGTCGACAACATAGAGTATTGCATACCCCGGCTGTGAGAGGCCATTTGTGTTAGGTTCATATTTCCCATCAAATGACCCCAAGTTGCTGAGGTCTAGAACGAGCCCGAAACCAGGCAACCGACGGAAGCCGTCAGGAGGTGCTCACAGCAGTTCTGTGGGATGTCATTGGCGGGCCCCAAATGTGGACCCAGGTAAGTCCCCAGAAACCTGGGTCAAGAAGTCGCCTAATTATTATAAGGTTCGTGTGGCCAAACACGATAATGGAAAATGCAGGTGACCTGATGCGCGACTTCTTGAGTAAGAAGCATCCAGCCCTTAGACTAAAATCCTTCTAGGCTGATCTATGCAATGAGGCACTGATCCTCTCTGGGCCTAGGGGTTTGCTGCCAACTCCTGCCCAGCTACTGCAGATGCTTACCTCCTCAACCGGAGACTTTCCTTAATAATTGACATCTATCCATGCTTCCCTAGCCATGGCCAAAGAACACAACTAGCCTGTCGATTGAACATATATCGTCATCCGGACCCTCAGTATATGGGCAACACCGTCGTTGCTAGCTAAGGCGTCTAGGCTCAATCAGTGGCTAAGGCCTCATTTGCGTTATGATCAGACACTCGGGATCAGGTCGCTTTCAAGTTCTTGTGAGTTCATTTAGGCAACGTCAATATCTCCATTTCCGGAGGTCCTCGAGTACCTCAGCAGTAATGCCCATGCCTTTCAACGATGTGCACAGGAAGCTAGGAGCTGAAGCGATTCCTTCTTCCAACGACTCCATGCCTGCTGGATATCTGCATCAAAGCCATTCGGAATCGCACAAATGGACCCGCTCCCATGCATCACTCTTCGATGTTTCGGACATGGTCCAACATACCATCTCCGGACCCCTAGCTGAAGAATTCCTCATGACTATCACACCCGGTGAGATCAACAAGCTGACCAAACACTCGTCAATATTGTCTTGCCTCCTCTCCTTAGAGGGCGGAATGGTGGACGACGTCGTCGTCACACGTCTTGGCAATGCGTCCTTCTACTTGGTGACGAACTCCAGGTGCCACGATTCCGATCTATCTTTCCTACGATCCCAGCTTTCTCGATTCATCTCCTCAAAATGCGCAACCAAGAACGCCGTTGATTGGAATGTGCTTGAAAACTACTCCCTTCTGTCCATACAAGGGCCATTGTCTTCTGCAATACTTGAATCAATGATTTTCTCTGACGGGGATGATCCGGAGCCAGACTCATCCCTTTCAACCCTGTACTTCGGTCACTCGCGCTGGCTTCAACTTCACCTTCGCATGGAGGGTTTTACCACACCTTCTCTTCTAGTGTCGCGCACTGGCTACACCGGCGAAGATGGATTCGAGATATCAATCCCTCCTGAAAGGGGCCCTGGTACCGCACTAGTTACATCCATCGCTAACGCCATTACTTCCGACCCCCAGGCGTGCCGCTGGGCAAGCCTGAGGGTGAAGGACTCTTTGCGTCTTGAGGCTGGATTGTGTCTGTACGGACATGATATCGACCCTGTGACTACGCCTCCTCAAGCTGGGCTGAGCTGGATGATACCCGAAGACCGTCGATTAGATCATTCCCCAGCATTCAATGGGCGTGAGCTTATAATCTCCCAGCTCTCCAGACCGGATACCATCTCCGCGCAACTAGTTGGCTTGGTTGTGGAACCGGGCCTTGCGGCGCGAGAAGGGGCACAAATCGTTGATCTGGACGATCCACAGGAGGTGATCGGGAATGTCACAAGCGGAGGACCGAGTCCGAGCTTGGGAGGAGTCAATATCGCGATGGGAATGGTGAGCCTAGGGTGGAATATAAAAGGGATCAAAGTAAGAATTAAGTTCCGCGGGGAAACCAGAGTAGCGGAGGTGGTAGACATGCCATTTGTGGAAAATAGCCTCTACTTAGGTGGCGAGGGCAACGCTTTCATGGGAGCTGTTGGCAAGTTAGAATCGAAGGAGAATGCCAGACAAACATATGACTTTGTCGTCGGCTTTCAAAGTTTCACACCGAGACTCGAGATTTGGGGTGGCAGAGGGGGAGGAACGAACAGAGAAGCATGAGTGAACAAGTTCTTGTGTTGGATATCAATTTGTATGTGTTGGAGGTTCTAATATCAGGCCACCGATTAACACTCCACGCCACTCTGGTAGAATCGTTCACTTTTCTCCTCACTCTCGCCTGGAAATTGACAGGAGCATCCAATTGTCCTTCACCGAAATCCTTCTTTCGCTTCTGTTCCGTTTCTGAATCTACCACTACGTTGGATGGTACACTCTAACTTTGCGGCTGTTCACCTAACTTTTGCTTCAGAGATTTAGAACGTGAGAAGTGTACGCAAATATCAATAAACATCCAGTGAGGATAGATTGGTTCAGTGAGGGCAGATCATGACTGAGATTAGACCCATGAGAGATGAGATCAAAGGTCTGCACGCAGTCCGATCTTCGTTTTCTGCTACATGGTTGGCGCAGTTTTCCGAGCCAGCACAGCAAGCAGGGCCTTTTCGAGCGTGGGATATCTCAGCTTGTTTTTTCTGGCCAACTGCACATCCTTCGACCACGGCATGATCTAGCGGGTATTCTCACTTTCCTGGCTCCGCTGATTTGCGCGGCTCTGGTGGCGATGTCGCGGGTACCAGATTCTCGACATGACGTCTACGATAGGTCTTGCGGCAACCTTCTCTAGCTCATTTCTCCACGAAGCGCTGGAAGATGGAACTTCTTTGCCAAACAGGCCCCACACTATATAGTCGGCCTTAGGCACATCTGAGAACATTCTTCTCGGTAGACTATGAGCATTTCTCTTGCCCATTCGAGTTGCCGATATTCTTCAAGACTTTCCATGACTGTAACCATAAATCTTCCATCGAGTATATCCATTGATATCATATTCAACCGCGTCTGGTCGCGGAGATGAGCTTCTTCCAGTATCTCTGCTCTGAAATTGGTGGAGATGGTCTCTATTTGGGGATAAGAAGATCTGCGCTGTGCTAGACCATCGAAACAGTAGCCTTCCTGATCAATACGACCGGCATAGGAGTGGTGTATCATTGGCTCTAGACGGCTGTTGATATGTCGATATTGTTGTAAAGGTCTTGGGACTGGCCTTGACAGAGATCGGGCCACTCCCTCTTCAGTTTTAACGCGACTGGCCAGGTTGACTTCGTATTCACAGGGCAGCATACCCAGAAGTGGGGAGCCGTCTCTGAAGACGTCGAAACTTCGTGAAAATGAAGACGCCGTTGTGGATGGCAGGAGACTTTGAAAATCAAGCTCGGTAGGCGATCTGAAGCTATCATCGCTTTTTCTTCCACTGAAACTGTAGGTATTTCTAGCAGCGACAGCCTCGTGTAGGAAGCGAAAATTATACTGACCGTTGGACATGTTTTAGATGGAAAGAGGATGAGAGTCGCCCTGAATCCTTTGGACGGAATAAGGACTCCGTTGAGGTAGCTACTCTTACATACTAGCGGTATGGATGATCTGGAAACGAGACCGGACTAGGAGGAGAGGAAGATGGTCACCCGATTCAGACGCGAGCAGCGAATTTTGTCCAAGCGAAGTCGAAACGGACTCCCGACCTAAGAAGCGAGGCCATTGGACGGTAGATGAGGATAACAACTTGTCAGAATGGAGGCGTCTGGAAAAATCGTGGTCGTGGATCTTCGATCGATTTCCCGAACGATCGCAAGCTGCCGTGCGATCGCGTTGGTTCGTGGTTCTAGCACCACAAGCAAAATCCACCTAAGAAAACCAGGTCCAAGACTCGTAGACAGAGGGAGGGTTCTCTTCACACAAGAGACTATAGGTTCACCAGACCTAGTCAATGGTCAATGCGTTTTTACCCGTTACAAAATCTCGGTAATGATCGCAATTTGTATGATTCCTCCTGTATTTGTCCCTAGTCATCGTCTCATAGATAACACCTTATCATTGTGCGAACTTGACCAGTAGGCCCTCTTGCACTTGTCCAAGCCTAGACATGCTTTTGGCAACATTTTCGCCGCTGGGTCTGTCATATATGTGTTCTCCCTGTGTTCTGCAGTGCGTCAAGGAACGTCTGTCCCCATCGTTGGCTACGGCGACATACAATTAGTAAAGATGTCTCAAATTTTTGGGTGAGGTTTTGTCACCTTGTGTTTCTCATAACAAACGATTGTAACTGGTTGAACCTCTGACGTTTTTCCTCTTCGTCCATCGTGACGGCCTGGTGGATGGCCTTTGAAAACTTGTCCGTATCCCAGGGATTGAACTTGATACTGTCGTCGAGCACTGCGGCGGCACCTGCAAACTCGGACAATAGCAATACCCCAAGACGATCCCGCTGGCATGCGATGTACTCCAAAGAGACCACGTTAAATCCATCTCTCGTTGATGAGATTATACAAGCGTCTGAAGCAGCATATAGAGCGGTCAATTCGTCCTTGGAGACGGAACAGAACTGTGACTGGATCGGACTATACTCGATGTCTCCTATGAAGACTGTGAGAAGCAGGATTGACCGTGGATGTTTACAGAGAGACAAACCGAATTTACCGTTGATTCTGGAAATACTCTCGTCAATCTGATGGTGTAGATGCCGATAGCCCTGTACAGCCTCCCGGCTTGGAATTAGGACTTGTAATAGAACCACTTTCCCAATGTGTTCCGGGTGCTTTGTCAATAATGCCTCCATCGCCTCCATTCGTAGCGGAATTCCTTTGACGTAGTCAAGGCGATCGACGCTCACAATAAGCTTTACGTCTTCATATCTCTTGTGGAGTACTTTGATACGATCTTGGACCTTCGGAAGGTTGAGTCTTGCATGAAATTCTTCTGGGTCTATCCCGATAGGACAAGTAATAACTCTGACGGATCGGCCTTCATACTTGACCTCACAGTTAGAAACCTCCAAGCGCCTGAATGCCAGTGTCAGCATCCAATTTTGACCTCAAAAGTTTCGGCACGCGTACATAGTCTTCTGGCAGCTTTGCAGGAAGTGGTCAGTATAGTCAGAATTATGAAATCCAACAAGATCACAGTTTAGAAGCCCGCCTAGAATGCCCTCTCTCACCGGCAAAATCCTCAAGAAGTCGCTACTTGGGAAAACGGTGTGTAAGAAGAATCCTATCTTCACATCCTTCTTGCACCTGTTCAGGGCTTGGCGTAGGAATGAGGGCAATAATAAAAGGTGGTAGTCTTGTATCCACACAGCGTCTCCGGCTCTCAGTTCGGGAAGTAGAGCTTCGGCGAAGTAGCGATTCACCTCTTGGTAAGCTTCCCAGTCCGGGTGGCTGAGGCGGATTTCGTGCATTTGGTAATGAAATAGAGGCCAAAGAATCTTGTCTGGGATCCAAGTTAGCATCATCACGCCTTGGCTTATGAAGGAGTCGCAGGACTTGAAAATCCATTGTAATGTTTGTCCGCTAACTGATTCCCCAAAAACACAGGAACGGCGTCTCTCTTCGATAATTCCTCTTTGACCAGCTGCTGGTCCTGCTCTGGTACTTCGACGCCTGGCCAGCCATACCACTTGAAATTTGTAGATTGCGAGAGGGCATGGAGGGCTCCAACCAAGCCACCATTTGATGGTACGAAATCGTATTGCTTATCGCCTAACTGATGGATTGTGATGGGAAGTCGGTTTGACACCACAAAGGCGGTAGGGGTGTGATCTTGGTCGCTCATCCCTTTCAGTTACTTGTAGTGATATTTGCAAGGGCGTGCTAAAGATTCTCATGGAAAGTTTACAACATTGAGAGTGAAACTTCACGTATCCCCAGAGCCCGACTAGTGTGGCACGTGGACCGCGATATGGTCATTCGGAAAGATCCCTTATCGCAATGCAATCACCTGAGAGCGCCACCTCTTCAGATTGAACGCAATAACACTCTCCTTGGGCGCCGGAGCTTGTACAATTACATCACTTTCCTATGGAAAGGGAAAGATGGAGAGTATAGTCCGAACCCACTAGAAATGTCCAAAATCCAGATTTTGAGCGGAATCGGCCATTGTGTCAGCAGGTGGCTTCGTTTTCACATGCCGCCCATACATTTTCTCGGCATTTGTGCCGTCATTACCTATGCATGCTGGATCCCAAAAGGAAGAGACGGGTATATGTACGCGGCCTAGCCTTGGGGGAATATGACTGGTGGACTTTACTTCCGGAAGAGGAAGCGCAGGGGCAGAGGAGCGGGGAAGAAGCCGGGACGTGATCTCGGTTGGTATCTTCCGCTTCTGCTTGGACTCTACTCGTTCTCTCATTGAAATAACCTTTCCCCATTTCCCACATGGGCAATATACCCTACGTGTTGTGACACCTAGCGTGGGAGTGACTCGTAACAACAAGATGGGGTTGAGGTCGAAGTTGATACAATGTCTTCGGATTCAGGTTGTTGACTACACTGCCACTGTAACTGAATTTAATAGGCCTTGAAGATATCATTTAGCCTCGTTACTCGCAGAGGATAGGAGATCTTTGCTTTGGATTTGATTAACTAGTATATCTCAGTCCTTCCTCTCGGGCTCCCTATTTGCCGTCCATTTCCATTTCTTCCATCTCGAGTGCCAGTTGTCGCTCTTCATCTCGTGTAATTTCTTCTTCTTCGCCAGGGCGGCCGCTTCTAGGTCCTGACCCTGAGCGGTGGCTTGAGGCTGCTGCGCTTGGGCAGGTTTCTTTCCCCCGTCAGGCACGCCGACCTGATGTCCTGGTTAGCATATGCTGCGACGGCTTGCACTGGAGAAACCTGCAATGGGCAAACCGTCAGTTACATTGTCAACAGAATGTAGAAGACGTTCTGTAATCCCGCCGACCTGGTCGATACGTCAGCTCGATAACTGGAATCCCTTGTCTGGAGACCGTACGATAGGTAATCCTTTCGTTGTGGAATTAAGAGTGTTGGTAATACTACACTACATGTCAACAACGGTTGGAGACACGGGATAGACAATTGATCTTGTACCCTGATAGAAGACCTCCTCTGCCCTCTCCTCCACCTCCGAGAAGACATGCCATGTTCGTGCTGGGGCCGAGCTAGTCGAGGAGTGCTAATGGAGTTCCTGGATGAAGTGTTCAAAGAATTGTCAGCTTTGATGTATGGGCAGTTTTGTGTCCTACCGGATATATTACAAACGAGCCTATGGATTTCATCTGCTCTTTCACCTGCTAGGGGTGTCCAAGAGCAAGTCTCCTGTTCTCTGATTTTAGCACGTGTGCACGTTCGTACTTGTGTCTCCGCTCGGAGTCTATTTCCAGAATCCACAATTAATCACCCTGGACATTCCTGATTGGATTCGTTCCTTTTGGGTGACAGTAAGGATATAATAACCGGCAATTCTTGGAGTCGAAATCTTGATTTTGCGTAATAATTATTTGCAAGTACTATGCCATGCCCCAGAAAACCCTGTAACGCATTGAATTTCGACCTCCCCCGGAACGGCACCTCCCACCTCTTTCCAGAGTTGTCGCTGTTCCCAAATATCACGTGAGTCAAATTACGACTAAAGGATCGCCGCCGATACCATTCAATCCCTGGTTATCTTGATCGCGCCTGTGGTCTCCTTCCGCCGATTGTCCCGACCTCGTCACTGGTTCAGCAGCGGCATCTGGAGTTCGGGTGGGAGCCACGACGATCGTGTCGTCATCGTCGTCTGCAGCACTCGTCTCTTCATGGACCGCCCTTTCGCGACAGTGTCGGTGTCGTCCTGAAGTCGACGTGCCGTGCCATTCTTTGTAGCACCATCCACGGCGGGTGACATGTCGAGCGTGGTTGTAGGACCGTCGTCCCCGGGGGCGCTTGCAGCATCCATCCCGGCCAGGTGCTCCTCGGTCACCCTGCCTCGTGTGTGCCGGTCACCGTACACTTCCGTCTCCCGGAAGGTGACGTGAGGGCTTTCTTTGATCACCTTGGACCCGGGGATCCAGATGCGGTAGTTGGTATGGCCGCCTCGTTGGTAACCCACCATGTAGCCCGTGTGGGCGCGGGCCTGGAATTTGGCCGACTTCTGTCGCCGTGCCATGGGGATGTGCATGTACGCCACACATCCGAAGCGACGCAGATGGCTCAAATCCAGCGTCTCTCGCCGACCGGTCAGATGCCGTGTCAGCCGCGCTCGAGGCGGCTCGCCATCTCGCTGCGTCGACGTCCGGTTCGTCACGTGCACCGCCACGTCGATGGCCTCCGCCCACAGCTCGTCGGGGAGTCCACTGTCCAGCATGGTCGACCGTGCTCGTGTGAGGATGACCTTGTTCGACGACTCGGCCGTCCCGTTCTGCTCCGGTGTGTAGTCCGACGACCGCCGCACGATGATCGACTCCTTCCGTGCCAGGTCTTCCAGCTGCCGACCGCCGAATTCGAGACCGCGATCCAGCACCAGTTCCAGCACGCGCAGGGGACAATGTTGGACCTTGATCAAGTTCACGAACCATTCAATCACCTCGTAAGCGGTGCCTTTCGTCGGCGTGATTCGACTCCACCGGTACCGCGTCAGATCATCCGTGATGATGACCACCCATTTGCCGCCACGGGACGGCGGCGGAGTGATCGGCCCAACCACGTCAACGTGCACGCGTCCGAAGGCCTGGGTGGACCGTTCGCTTTCCTGACGGGAGACGACCCGCTGGGACTTGGCCAAGTGGCAGGGCTCACACGCCAGGGACTCGGTAAAAGTGACCTGTTCCATGCCCGTGCTGTGTCCTTGAGTCATCTTGAGTTGAGAGACCCCGGCATGACTCAAGCGTTGGTGCCATAGCACGGCGTCCGCGTCCGCTTGATCGACCGTCGGACATGCGACAGCATCACGACATCCTCTTTCTCCTCTTTCTCCGAGCCGCAGCATGTTCAGCCCCATCGATTCTCGCGTGAAGCCGACTTCTTGATGGCTCCCGATCAATCGCAGCGTGTTGTCGAGCGTGCTGAAGTAGATGCCGCCTTTCTTCAGGAGGGACGCGGAGATCAGGTTGACCGGCAACATCGGCACATAGAGCACGTCGATCAACCTCAAGGTCCGCATCCGGCCACCGCGGGTCATTAACCACAGATCGACGGAACCCTTTTGCGAGCTGGTGTAACAACCCGTCGATCCTCGAACCGTGATCGGCTCACACGCGCTCAGGGCGGAAAATAGTGCCGGATTGTTGCAGAAATGCTGACTGGCACCGGTGTCGATCGCCCACTGTGACTCCCGCCGAGCCAGCAATGCGTCCACCGTCAGCGCCGACAACGCTCCATGTCTCCAACCCGGTCCCGGCTCATTCTTCTTCGGCCGTTTCTCCGGATGCAGTGTCCAGCAGTCTTCTTCATCATGGGACATTTTGGGATGCTGAGGACAGTTGCCACGATGCTTTCTCTTCTTGTTTCGCGGTTGTTTCGGCTGACTGTTGAGCACCGTGGCTTGGCGTTGATGGGCCCGTTCGGCCATCCGCGCCTCCTCCCGCGCCAGCGACATGGTCTCGTCCAGCGTCGTCAATCGTTCCCGCTGACGGAAATGCAACACGAACGTCTCATAGATCGGCGACGACGACAACCCACCGACGAACAACGTGATCAGGTTGTCCTCGGTGAAATTATTGGAATGATGTTCCTCCCCGTTGGCGAGGATCTGATTGTCTCGAGCCTCGGTGAACTTCAGACAGTATTGATCGATGTCGTCGTCACAACTGGACAGCGTCGTCTGGACCAGTTGAAGAAGCGCCGTGTACCGTCGGTTGAAGCCTCGCGGCTGGAACTGTGACTCCAGCCGGCCCCACATGGTTTGAAGAGTGTTCGACGCCTTGAATTGAAGCTTGAAGCTCGGGGACATCAGGCCATTGACGAACGCCAAGGCCTTCGCGTCCTCTCGATCCCACGCTTGTTGAGCCGGTTTGGACGCGTCGTCGGGCCGCGGGTCGGTGTCGTCGATATGGCCGTACCATCCCTGACCAAGGAGATGGTAATAGGTTTCGATGCGCCAGGCTTGATAGTCATCTGGCGACTTGAGGATGAAAGCTCGAGTCTTTGAGTTTATCCATGATGATGACAATGATGATGTGATGCGGAAGGTAAACCGGCAACGCTGATTATTAAGCAACTGCCAGTGGTGTTTGGCAGAGCTCTGATTGGGTAGAACGCAATCACAGATGAGCGCCGGGCTCATAACCTGTTGAGGCTATGAGATTATGCTCAGGCTCGAAATGTTCTTTCATTAATTAGTTATTTTCATCTTCACAATCATGTCTCCGTCCTGCACATGTATATACACACTCTCAGAAGTGTTGTGATTTATGGCAGTGGAAGCATGGATTGATCCTTATTCATCTTCTTCTACTTCCTTAGAGAAGTAGAAGTATCATACTAGAAGCTTCCCTACAATTTCCAAGCATGCGGAATGATTCCATAAAGCTTTTGTCAATGTCATGATCTTTACAGGTCGAGCTCCTGTACTAGTCTTTATTACTCTTTTCATAACTTAACCCTACATAGTCGCTCTTTTACCTCATTTTCTACCCGGAAGAGCGCTCATTGTTAAGGCAACTTATGAAGCGTCAACTAGACACTCTGTGATTGTTGATACGGCAACGAGAGCGGCCTCAAACGAAGTAACACGTTCGCTTCTTTTTCCCTTGTAAACAGACAGAGAACGGTCTCCTAGTGATCCAGGTCAGGCTCGTCAATTCACCATACTGGACCTCCGACTATCTTTTCTCTATTTATGAATGCCATCTAACATCAGCTGACACGAGAGAAAGCCAGCGTGCTTGCCCAACTGAGGACAGGGATAGTAAGACTGAACTCAAGTTCATTAATCAATGAGCTGCACAGGAGCAACATTTCGTACTATCTCGAAGGAAAATCGGTGTCTGATGACCGAAACGGACTTCAGCCATGAGAGCAGCTCAAGCCGCCATACAATTCGCGATCAACACAGGTTGACTTGATGCAGAGTCCTGGCAAGGGAACAGCCAACGACCCAACCACTTTTGCCTATTTCTCACCTCGTACCATAAACAGGAGACACGGCTTCAGCTGTAGGGGATAGAACGATGAGCACTTGGAGAAAGATCGTCGAGCCAGTCTGCTAACACTATTCACTCATGAGAAGCCGCGGAGATACGGTAGACGAGAGGAGACAGAAGCCAGAAACAGTTGATGTATGGGCCAAAGGGGATAAGAATCCGCTTTAAGAAAAGCACCTGTAGATTAGCAATAATTGACCTACCTAGTTACCTGCCCGGTGTTAACACACGGTGTGTGGCTGTGCATATGACATGAGTACAGCATACTCGAAAAGCACCAAACTCCAGACACAACGGCGTCATGACGAAGCACATAGAACAGGATCTCCGGCCCCCAGCCTCCCCTGAGTCAACACAGTTCACTCCTACCAATCAACCCTTTCATCCACACCATCGAATTAAGGCCATGAAAGTGGGAAATAGTGGCGTCCAGTTACCTTTGTCCCCAGGTAGCCGGCTCTAGGACGCAGAAAACATGGGAGGCAATGTCACTTGGCAGAATCTTGGTAATTCGTGGCGCAGGCAGTCCGAAGAATGCGGGCAATGGCAAGTCCAAATTCGCGAGTCTTGCGTCTGAACAAAGACTCGGGTCGAGACAGATGTTGACGGATATAACCAAGAAATAACGCTTGGATTGTTGCTGGTGATACAGGATGACATCATATTTGGTAGCACGCCTATCATCTGGTGGCCGACCATTCAGGCCTTGGACAATCGATCCTACGTTAATGTTAGGTGGGTAAGTAGCTGGCGAGCCGGACGCGCGAATGTGCGAGTTTTGGGCATTGCAAGAGTCTTGGGAGACCCCGTTGCCATTCTTAGGCATGCCTAGTCAGTGACGTCACGTTAACTCGCGGGACATCAAGAGAAAGCGATCAAGATTGTGGCCTCTATAGAGCGGAGAAGCACGACAATTGAGGGGCAGGTTGGTGAAGTACCGTTCGAATTGCCCGCTGTTCTGACAGACTTGCTACTGTACAGTATAAGTCAGCTGCTGTTGCCTAGTCTCCATTCCCAATTCAGTCCTCGCCACCAAGATCCATGCGGGTCGAGACAAAGCCTGTCTCGACGTAATCCTGGCTCCTGATCAAGGGCTGGTTTGCCATCCTTGCAAATCTATATCGTATTCTGCCCGTCGAAGCCTTTTCCGACTCAAGCTTGGCCACATTCAAGCACCACCCCCTCAACGTAAATAGGGCACGCCTCCTACGCTTCTACGAACCATTTACTCTACTTGGCACAGCGTCCTGATTTGACATTGGATTGTAGCTTAGAACGAACAATCAAAGCTTTGGCGCAACTTCCTTGATCAAAAATTGCAATTCTACACGATTTCGATGAGGATGGAGATACGGTGACTGCAGTTGCCATACAAAGGAACATTTGGCATCTCGGCGAACGGATGAATCTCTCTGGTCAGATTATATTCCACTGTTCAGTTGCGCCTTTCCTTCGATATGGCATTTACCCGCTCGTCAAGCATTGTCGGCACTTATGGCTGGACTGCCTGACGTCTTTGTATTGGATCTTTGTACTGGGGGACCTTTGGTCGTCGTTTGCCTTGTGTTTCGCACACTTCAAGAACTCTCCACCTTTCGAGTGTCCATTGATACCATACCTGCTCTTGCGGGCAAAATGGGTAAGAAGACATCTTTTTGGAGTTTGTCGTCAATCTGTGTTTCCAAAGTCAGTTACATATCTTGTCTACTTTGTCCGCACTTAACTCTATTGACAAGGAACAAGGCAGCAATGCTCTCACTAAGACAACCACGCCAACAGTCGGGACAAGAACACATCAGTCGCATCTACAACTCCATCAGACATCTACGGAGAGAGGACAATGCGGTCACGGTCATGTATGCCCCGGCGCATGACGACGACAAGTGGAAGAAGATCGCCAAAGAGAAGGCACAAATGGCCACCAGTTCGAAGGCCGGACTACCGACACAACGACCAGGGATGAAGTCCACAATGCTCAACGCTGCACGAGCCAAACGGAGCCCCACCAGAAGCCCACTAGAAAAGGTTGGAATACATTCTAAGAGAGTGGACACAGCATTACCAGGCAAGCACACGAGACAACTGTACGACTGGCTCTCACGGAGAGAAGCGAGAGCACTTGCTCAACTCCGGACAGGCATGGCAGAACAGCTATCCCTACCGGATCAATGCTGCCCCTACGGATCTATACGCATGCGGACAAGCGAGAGAGACAGTGGAGCTTTTTCTCTTTCGATGTACCAAGTGGAGGGCGTTCCGTACGGAGATGCTCCAATGTAGTGAAACACACCGAAGCAATATGTCCTTCTACCTAGGCGGAAACACACCGACAGATGACAGATCTTGGACTCCGGACCTGACGGTAGTCCGGGCAACGATCCGGTTTGCAATGGCCACAGGACGACTTGATAACACCACCAGACGAATCCACACTCCATCTCTCTCACCATCATTTCTGACTCCCTCTATCTCAACTCGTGCCGACGAGCAGGCGCGCTTCAGCTGCCGAGGATAGGATGTTAAACGCTTGAAGAATCGCCTTCAAGCCAGACTGCTTACTGTAAGTTTGCCAACACGAGACTCCGCAAAAACGTAGCAAGCGAGCGGGATTGCATAGCGAATAGAGATGTATATTGTATGGGCTTTAAGGAGACTGGACATATCTTCGAGAAACAGTATTAGCAGATCAGCTTTAGCTTGGTCTTTCGGCTTTGCCACCGGGGGTAATAAATTGCGTGTGTAATTTCCCCTGACAGATCCAGTCAAAGTGTTCTTCAAGCAGGAGTCGTGGTTGCGGCACGGGGCATTTGGGTAACGCGCTGGACCATTCTTGGCTGGGAAAACAGCGCAGAAGTGGACAAACAAATGAGGATATTATGACTTCCTCTGTGGGTCGGACGCAGACATCGCAGCTTTTTGTTTTGAGGGGTCTGGAATTTTAGCGAGGATACTATAGCGAGGATACTATAGCGAGGATACTGTTAGAGGCTACCAACATTATGACCAGCTCATGAATAGTACTGATGTCAACCAGCTCTGTCGTATACTTATGGATGTGGTGACATTCATATGGATTTCGGGCGCCGGAAGATTAACATCTATAGATGGACTGAACACGCGGGGGGAGCTCACTCTCCGTTAATCAGCCACTCATAGAAAAAATCCACCTCTCTTAGGCCGGATATCCCAGCTTTAATCAATGTTCGTCGCGCGATGCGCGTCCACTATCTCATATTTCGCAGGCTCCGCAGCCATACCTGGACCAATTGAAGCCTCTCTTATCATTTGCCACTCCAAGTCCTGCCTTTCATATTCGGGAGGGGGTAATCCATATTGCTCCTTAAGGTTGTCTCTGAGTTACGGAGCAGTCGCTTTGAAACTTCCGATATTCCTATCGTACGATGCAGCCAGTCGTCAGAGCCACCGTATAGTTCTTGTACGTCGGTAAATCATTAGTCGTCCTGCCAGCTGGACGATGATCCTGAAGAAGAGGGAGTTCTAGTATGAAACTGGCTCCATTTTTCCACCAATGTCTCATAAGATTCCGCCATCGGGCCGTCACCAAATCCTGTTGCAGCTTCGTTTGCGGCCGCCACGCCAACAGCAGGTGAAGAAACACTGCCTTCAAACTGGACATCGACGTCTTTAAACATCTTCTCAACACCGTTCGACGACATGAACTGCAGTTGACGTAGTCTGAGATGTAGAACACGCAACATGCTCTCTGCGGAAACCGAACGGCGAGACAGACCGTGCAAAGCTACAGCCAGTTTCACAAAGGACGATTTGCACTGATCGCCATCGATATCGTTGACGACGACAGACAAGGCCGCGTTGACTGGCTGGAGAAAGCTAATAGGGATATGGTCGACGCCCCAGTTCACGGACTGAAGATGGACAAGGTCGGCTATGGCCAGGGCTGAAGTCCTGTTTTGGGCTCGTACAACGGGGACGAGAAGACCGAGAGTTGTGTCGTCTTCATCCTCAGCCTGCAGAGTCAATGTCAGTTCTGATAATACCAACACAGCCCAATTATACTGGGCATATACACTCAAAATATGGGGTGTTTTGACTCCCGTAACTTGGACACAGTCTGAAAGAGTTTTGTACCAAAACGTTAAGTCATGATGAAGCTCTTCCAGACTGTCACGCGCGACGGGGTTGATATTCGCATTGTCGTTGACGAAAACACACTGACTAATGTGGTAGCAGATTTCGTACAAACCGCTCAGGTGATGCAGATAGCAACTGGGATGGGTAACTGCTGGAAAACCATCACGGGGGTAGGGTGACCATACGCCGGCCGACTCCACTTGGCAGAGAGCAGGCTTCCAGTTGATGGGAGGTTCCATCACAGGCCGGTTGCGAACCGCAAAAGTTGCAGCGGTGGTAGAGACGAACACAGCCTAACTAGTGCATTGCGAAAGTTGCTGCGCACCAGAGATTGGCTCTTTTCCAGGTCGTGCCCTGGCCTCTTGACGCCGACTAGGCTTGTTAAACTGCTTTAAATGGTCGGTCATATCTTGCATGATAACATTGGCGAGCCTGTCAAGGCCGTGATTCTCTAAACTATGTCTCGGTAAGCAACGACTTCAACATAAAGAAGGATACCTCGGCTTATAACATCCATTGGACCGCCATGAACTGTATCGACGGTAACGACCTCTTCTGCGCTGTTGTCTCTGCATATCTCTTAGCTTCCTCGTAAAAGAGATCTTGTAAGGGTTTCTCGTCCGACGGATGGATATGATTGTTGTCCAGAATGTCATAGTCGAACTGGGATACTCTTGATCAGTAATTACGCCGTTATCTAGTGTTACCACTGACGCAAGCATCTGAGAGGATCATATTCACCAAAGCTGCCGTACATACTCCACTAGTCTCGTGTCCAGATTGCATGGCCGAGACAAAGGTATCGCGGTCAATGAACGGATAGCACCAATGGCGCCATGTAAACCATAGTGATAGGAGATGCGACACGAGCCCGTCATCATCTGTGACTGTCGCCCAAGGTTTGGCAGGCACTCTGAACAAGGGGCTAGCCGTTCCCAATGTGGCTCTGAACAAACGACTTTTAGGTGACTGTGGCAGTTGCTGGGATGTTGAAGCCTTGCAGGGAGACCCTTCCTCTGCTGCGTGAGGGGAATTCGTGGCAATATAGTTGGAGACTTGCTCATTCGATGTATTCGTTCGGATTATACTGATAAGATTTTCCACCTGACTATTGTCACCATTTCGGATCGCCTCCATCAAATCGAAAAGCAGTTTTTGATCCGACTCCCATTCTTCGACCTTTTCCTTCCACACCATCCTCCTGCGGCCATCTTTTCCTGTTTCGCGGATACAATCTGTTTGTTTCGCCAAACAGGCTGCACAAGGGGCATTATCATCACACTATTTGCAGTCATTCATGAGCTGGGATCTTGTAAGTTGAGGTTGGTTGGGAATCAGTCTGCCGCGTCAGAAGAGCTTATCACGAAACAGTGACTCATTCTGCTTGAACCCGGACACGCAGAAGTCAGAGTGAGTGGTCGGTGTTATGCATACGTTCCAGTCAGACTGCGGTTCCCATTGCAGAGAAAACCACGGGAAAACGGCACTTGAGATGTACGCACCTTGGTACGACGTTTTTGACAAGCGGTGCATGCTGTTGTGGTATTCCGTCGCTGTTTGGTGGGTAATCGAAACTTGTTCGGGTCGGAAATCATAGCGGGGTACTTCGGTGCGGCGGGCGCCAGGTAATCGCCTTGTCACGTGCGAAAGTTGGCTGGACAAAAAGGATGCCAGAATGGACAGACAGAAGGTATCGAAGTTACTAGAACGTACAGTGCAATTTTCAAAACCCAATTCACGCCATTATGTGCGCAACCTGGGAGATCCGGTTAGAGTCTGCTTGGACTGTAGTTAGACTCGGGGAGTGTGTTCTTCATCACTAGGCTCAGCTCTTTTATCCTGTTCGCTTCCACCTTCGGGTACGATCTCCTAGCTCGTCATACAGGATGTTTTTCATATCTTCTGTCCAGTTTACACGAGACTGCTTCCTAGCCTAGCATTTAGCTGGACGTAATCGTCGTGGCCAAGGCGGATCGTCTCCGAGAATAGGGTGTGGTTTTCACGGTTATCCTGGAAGAGTATTATTTCCCAAGTTCAAAGTGTCAGTTTCATCATTTGTGTCGGCGAAGACAAACTCACAATGCTTCTGGTAATTTGGCTAGTGGGTCATGTCTTTAGCTAGAGTGACCACAAGCCCATACACAGAGTCGGACTATATATAAGAGTCCATTGCGAAAACCCAGGTCATTGCTTTTGACGACCCTAATCTCCTGGTCATCCATTTACGTGTAATTCGCTTCTTTTCTGTGACGCATTTTCTCCTGATGTTCCTGCTTCCAGATCCAGCGCTTGGGTTGGCCACAGTAGGGTTCTCGGCGCTGTCATTGAATAGCCAACGTAGATGCCGATCTCTGAAATGTTCAAGAAAGAAAGAGCTGACCGCACCATGACAGGGACATTCAATATCAATGATCGGGTCAACCTTCAGATAATCATCCCACACCTTTCGTGCCGCTCGAACCCACCCTCGGTCGTTCTCCCTCTTGATCTGGAGGATGTCTTCAACTTCGATCCATGCACGAAACGCATCCCTCTCCCCGGCGTTCTGCAAGGCCGCTTCGAGAGAATCCAGGAAGAGGAAATAGCAGTTTCGCTCCTCGGTGGCTTCCAGTTCGGCTTGTATGTTGTAACGGAGGTATTGTGCAAACGGCCATACTGACCTCCGAGTGGTACAATCGATCGAGACCAGGAACCCACCGGCAACGGTGAAGACAGCATGCAAGCATCCTGCTGGTAAGTAGATCGCTTCCGCCGAAGTGGTGTGCGCCACTACACCTCCTTCCAAGACCCCCATCCCCTGTGCCAGTTTGGCTTGCTGGCCCCGGTGTTCGGCCATCCACTGCAGGTTGTGAGGCTTCGGAGGATATATCATCCACACTTTTTCGCAATCGTGTAAGGTGGCGGAGATGCCATCCTTGCCATAGTCTGTGCCTTGATTAGCACAAGGCCCGTTGTTCGATACATTAATCATACCTATATGCAGATCGACGAACGAGAATTTCGGCGTCATATTGAATACCATTCGCTGTTCAAGGTACGTCGTCACTCGTTGATGAAGTTGAGCACACCCTCCAAATGTTCGATGTCGTATTAATGCTGGAGGCTCCATCCCGATAATGTAGATGGGATTGTTCTGATTCGGCCTCGCCAGCTGACAGAACGCGAGCGCGGCGTTAGCTGACTGTTCACCCTGTTCATAGACCCGAAGATCTTGTCCTTAGCCTACTTTTGACCTAATAAGGTCTCTTCACTCACCATGTGTTTTGATCTTCATCGATTCGACCCAGAGTTGTTCAAAGGAAGGTTGCAGCCCGCGCCAGCATGCCGCTGCCGGCACAATCGTCGGTAGACGCGTTGTGTGACTCCTCCATAAGGCTTGCAGATCGTCGGTGGCGGATGCCAGCAGCCTCAGCTTTGACAGGTCGAACTCGGGATCCAGGTGTATCAGGAATGCTGGCTCATTGCGGAAGTAATCCAGCCATGACGATACATTCGGCTTATCATTATGTATGAGCGTCTCAGACGGGTCTGAAAGTATGTTTTGCGTTGAAGAATTGGTCTCTGTTTCTGGTGCTCGTCGGCATAACCGACCGGTGCGTTCTGGATTATGAGGCAAGTCTGCCTCAACTAGCTGTTTGAGGTCATCTAAATACTGTGCACTGAGAGCTGATAAGCCTGGGTGCTGATTAATTATATTCTGATCTCGCTTAGGGAGATCAATCAATTGTTGACATGCGTATTGGCCTTTGCGTAATAGGTGATGATGCGTGAATGAGGCACTCAGGAAAATGAATGCTTGCGGGAAGATCGCCAGTGCCCTGTCCCAAGTTGCTTTCACAAAATTTCGTGGTCTTCTCTGACCTTTCAGATACTCAACCGCGGTCCGAATATTTCTGTGAGCTTGGACTAAGCGTCGACTGTTTCCGCAGCTTAGGTACTGTAAATGTGTGAGCAAAAAGACGTCATTCTGGGACGTAGGGTCAACAGTGTTCAATTTCACTGCCGAAATGGTGACCATCGACATGATCTTCGGTACACTATTGAGAGTGTGAGAGTGTTGTCAGAAGTGTTGTGAGAAGTGTTGTGAGAAGTGTTGTGAGAAGTGTTGTGAGAAGTGTTGTGAGAAGTGTTGTGAGAAGTGTTGTGAGAAGTGTTGT